ATTACACTTTTTTTTTGTGACTTAAAATGTTTACTTTGCCACTTGGTGGCCTCATTTGATCAGGTAATAGAAGGTAAAAATATAAGTTAAGGTCCTTTGTTTTTCACAGGTGTGCAATTCAAACCTTGACATGTGATCTTCCTACACATCCCGGACAGTAGATCCCATTTTGCAACTATGTACCTGCTGTGGTAATTATTGTGGTGGTTCTGAAGAGCCTGAATCTCTGATATTGGGGTGGTTCAGGTTTGAGAGCTCTTCAATAAGGATAGAACTGAAGTGGATGATTTTTCTCCCCATTCTTCCATGCTCATCCTTGATGTTTTAATGTTCCTCACCCCTTCCCAATCAAAACAAGCAGAGGATATTTTCTACTACCAATAGTTTGACTTTTTTTTTTATAGGACTAGAACTTGTTTGGATTTTGCCGGACTTCTTTCCTGCTTATTCTGCATCCTTAGTTCTTATTTTCTAGATTTTATTACTTGATGACGTTTTTCTGTATCCCTTTTGCGAAACTATACCCCAAGACTCTGTCTATTTGTGATTCCATATATAATATATTCATATGATTAGCTGTGTTACAAAATGCTAGTTTCTTATTGCTGGGTTTGCTGCTTTAGTGTACTTATATCTGGATTCAAGGCAAGCAAATACTGATTATATCATGCTTAATATACTCTTACTCATAGAAGTCTTCTGCCTTGGTAACTCTCTTGTCAATGATGGGATGGAAACTCAGTTCCCTGTGCTTTGCAAACTCAGGAAGAATGGCCTGAACGAGTGTACGGTGAGGTGGATTGAGAACTGGCTGAACGGCAACCTCAGAGGGTTGTGATCAGTGAATCACAACCCTCTGTGACAGATGAAGGGATGAAGGGGTAGATGCCTTCTCAGCGAGTTTACTGACGATATGTAACAGGGAGGACCCATCCCCCCAAGTGCTCTGCAGCCCTTCAGAAGGACCCTGACAGGCTGGAGGGATTGGCAGAGCAGTACATTTGAAATTTCTCAAAGGCAAATGCAGGGTCTTACACCTGGGGAAGAATAACCCCATGTACCACAACAGGCTGGGGGCTGACCTGCTGCAAAGCAGCTCTGCAGAAAAGAAACTGGAGATCCTGGTGGGCAACAAGCTGTCCATGAGCCAGCAGTGTGCCCCTGTGGCCAAGAAGGCCAATGGTGTTCCAGGGCACGTTAGGAAGAGCATTGCCAGCAGGTCAAGGGAGGTGGAGCCACATCTGAAGCGCTGTGTGCAGTTCTGGGCTTCTCAGGACAAGAGAGGCGTGGAGCTCCTGGTAGAGGTCCAGCAGCAGGCTATGAAGGTTATTAAGGGACAGAAGCATCTCTCTTATGAGGAAAGGCTGAGGGAGCTGGGCCTGTTCAACTTTAGAAGAGATAACTAAGAGGGGACCTCACCAATGTCTGTAAGCATCTGAAGGGAAGGTGTAAAGAGGATGGAGCCAGGCTCTTCCCAGTGGTGCCAAGCAATAGGACAAGAGGCAGTGGGCAGAAACTAATGCACAGGTTCCACCTGAACATGAAGAAGAACTTCCTTATTGGAGAGTGACTGAGCATTGAAACAGATTTCCCAGAGGTTGTAGAGTCTCCTTCCCTAGAGATATTCAGAAGCCATCTGGAGACACTCCTGAGTAATGTGCTCTAGGGGACCCTGTTTGAACAGAGAGGTTGGGCTAGATGACCTCCAGTGGTCCCTTCCCACCTGAACATTCTGTGATTCTGTGATTCCGAACCCACAGTCTCAAGCTCTACTGGCTCAAGGCTAAGTACTGCCTCAGACCAAGAAGGTGGAGTGTCACCCCGCTCCAGTCTTGTCTCAGGATTTTCTTGCAAAATACAGTTCTTTTGCAGTTGTATAGCTCCAGACAGCCCCAGGTCTTCTGTCACACATTACAAGACATAGTGCAAACTGTAACAAAAAGACAGATACTTCAATACACAGGTAATGATTTACAGTTAAAAGAACACATGATTCTTGTAACAGCGACTGTCCTCTGAAAATACCATGGTAGATTCAATGTTTTTTCATTGGTATGTTGGACTCAATCACATGGAATCCATTTCTGGGTCAATGTTACAAATAACCCTTTAGTAAAAGGAGTATATCTGTTCTGTCTTAGAAAAGTCGAACTTTCTTCCCAGCAATAGGCACTCTATTACTTTTTTGCTACGAAGTAGCATTTGCATTTGTATACCCAAAATGGTGAATTGTCACTGGAAACTTTGGTTAACCACATGAGCAGTAAAACTCTGTGAACTAAATGTTTGACCTCTTTTTTTGTTGTTGTTGTTGTTTGTTTCAGTCTCCCCTTCTGGCTTTAACACTTTGTTTAACCATCTCTGCTGTTTTCTGCTCATATATCAGTTGGTATGGTTGTCCAAGTTCCATCACAATTGCCATGCATTCTTATGATTTTTAGCCAAGTAGATAGAAATAAAACATCCAAGTTAAATTTGTGTGTGCTTCAAGCCCTCAGAGTACATTCCCTTAAAATCAGAGACTTTTGTTAAAATCACTAAATTATTTTTGGCACCATGGAACATAGATGCTGTTGTTTAGTCCTCACATTTGTTTCCCACAATTTTAAAGCAGTGGAGACATGTATCTTACATTTTTATGATCTGTGGTTCAAAAGAGTTTTCCATTGCCACTAGGGTAGGGTCTATAATCAACAAAAAGCAGGATGCTTACGACTTCCTTTTTATACAAGCAAATATTCACAAATTTAAACCTAATTATTAATATAACTAGATACATGAAAACTTTACTCAGACAAAGCCTAATAATTAATTTATGCTGAGCCTTCCTGCTGGCAATAGTTCTCCTTTGACTTCCCGTACTCACTCTTAAATTGTAATAGCAACATTTATAACATAACATTCTTGCTTTTTGTTGACTTATTTGCCTTTCCATAATTAAAATTGAAACTGGACCTATTTAGACATTTTTCCATTCATGAGTTTTTCTTGATATACATAAGGTCCTGCTTTGTTTATAATTGGATCTAGCCCATCCTATTTACAGTTTAGACTGTAAATTTGCTTGGAAAATACAGAACATTACTTTCCTTCCTCCTTGTCATTCTGCAGAGTACTGGTTTGTTCTTATTTGTGTATGATGCGTGCATTGAGCATTCCTTCCCATCTGACTTGCTATAACATCATTAAACACTTTTCATGTGTTTAGATAGGGTCTGTATACATTCTTCAGTTAAAACATTAGGCAGTCATTTTACTCCCAGGCATAGCTCTAAATCACATGACCTTGTGAGAAGCTGTTGTGGCTCACAGACCATTACAATGACAAGGTGATGCGATATCCCAAACTTTTCTGCAATTTTTCACCATTGCAGTCCCATCAGGTCATTCCATTTACCTTGAACTGCAAGTTTCAAGCAATGCGGAGCCTTTATTTTCTTCAAAGATTCCCACATAATTCCTTATTGTTTGCCCTGGAATATATGTTTCTTGCTTCAAATCAATCTATTGGTTTAAATCCCATCTGAAGTATACAATGTGGTATATTACATTGTGAGATATATGAAATATGCATTGTGGTACACTTGGCTGTAGCTTTCTTTACTGGAACTAGAATTAGGAAACTACCACTTTGTGTGGTAGTTGGGAATAAGGTGGGATTACCCTAATCTAGGGTAGTCTGTTTGTATCCTAGCCTGTTGTTGTGGGGTTTGCTGGGAAAGAGTTTGGTTTTTTTTCTAAGTCCAGTGCTGTGTTTTGAATTCCGTATGAGAATTATGACGACAATACACTGATGTTTTGGTTGTTGCTAAGTAATGCTTCCCCTAAGTCAAGGACTTTTCAGTGTCTCATGTTCTGCCAGTGAGGAGCTGCACAAGAAGCTGAGGGCAAGGAAAGCACAGTCAGGACAGCTGACCCGAGATGGCCAAGGGAATATTCCATACCACAGGATGTCATGCCCAGTATATAAACTGGGGGTAGCTGACTGGGAGGGGCTGATTGGAGCTTAGGGACCAGCTGAGCATCCGTCAGTGAATGCTGAGCAATTGAACTGCACATTACTTGTTTCTCTTGGGTTTTATGTTCCTCTCTATCTATTTTATTATTATTATTGCTATTATTATATTTTACTGTGCTTCAATTATTAAGCTCTTCTTACATTAATCCATGAATTTTTACTTTTTTTCCAATTCTCCTTCCCACCCCACTGGGCAGAGAGGGTGAGTGAGTAAGCAAATGGCTGTGGTACTTCGTTGCCATCTAGGATTAAACCATGAAACCTACGGCTCATGAATTCTGATGTTTTAATGTTCTCTTAGTGAGAGTATTCACCACAAACTAAGCACAAACTAAGCTATTATGTACCCATCTGTTTTCATGTCTGGCCAACTACCTACCTTCTAATACTCCCTTTTGCATTCAAAGACCCCGTAAATGATCCTGTTCATGCACCTATTGAAACAAATCTACTGGAAGTGTACAGAGTGCTCCTTATCTACAAGTGTTTGTCACCTGGCCACAATACACTCACTATGCTTCACCTCTCTACTAGCTTCTATAGTAATCACCCCTCAATTTCCTCATCTTCATGTGGGAAATAGCTCAGTCTTTGATACCTTGCTTTGTATCATTTTCTTTGGTTTGTTTTCCAACTGTGTGTTTCTTCAAATGTTAAGTCTACTGGGGCCACCACAATCTTGGCAAAGGTATGTGCTTGACTGTTCCAATACTGCTGCCTCTGTATGTTCCTTTTGGTGTGCTTTTACATGACCTGCATATTTTTTTCCTCTCTTCTTTTTTTTTAACCTATGTACAGGATTTCCTCTCCATGATTGATAGGCTACCAGATTTCCATTGTGTTTGAAGGTAACTTTTATTATACTTTGGTAGTCAAATAGTTAAAGCCTGATACATCCGGTCTGAAACTATGTACAAAGCTAGATCATTTCCTTCGGGTTCCTCTTTTAACATCATTAGCAGAGCTTGTGGCTCTGCTGCTTGTGCAGAGTGAGGGCAGACAGCTCTTTATTTTTCCCAGGAGTTGCAGCATATCTAATAGAGGATTTTCCACACTTTTCAGAAGAACTGGAGCCATTTCTAAAGCACACTGAATAACCTGTGGCACGAAGCTGATAGCAGAGCTCCTACCCGGTGAGACACGCATAAGGTAAAAGTGCATTTATGTTCTGTTCCAGTGGTTAAAAGCCATATAGAGCTAGTGATAAAATTTTGTGACATTCTACAGAAAGCTCTTATTTTATAAAAGCCATTGTCCAGCTAGCCTAGGGTTTGATATATATCCAGTTTGTACTTTTCCACTGATTATGAACTTCAGTGCAGTACGTGTGATATATCCTTTAGTGAAACATGTTATGACATGTGTTACTGCAAAACAGCCTCTAGTGATGTATTCCTGAAGCTAATTGCCTATGCCAATGCTTAACCTGATTTTTAATATGTAATAGAGCTCTTTCCCACCGGTTTTAAGACTCTCAAAGCAAAGGCTGTAACTTTCATCTTATTTCTGTGTTCTTAGCACAGTGGAGTTCAGTAGTGGCCAGCTGAACATAAAACAGTTTACAATAATCTGAGCATCTAAAGTCCAGTGTTTAAAGTAGTGCATTTTTGGTTCTTTTTTTCTTTCCATTTTTGTTTGTGAAATTTCTTTGCTAATTTGATTAGTGGTTTACTGATTTCTGCAGATGTAATTCTCACAAAAATGTAAGCAATTCCAAAAGTGAATCTCATGCAACTATTATTTGCATAGACTCTCATAGTCAGTTCTACCCTTTGCTGATCCCATTCCTTCCTGACCTAAAACTATTACTGAGTATTTCACTTCAGATTGTACCAGCTGAGTCTTGTCATAATTAACTTTAAAGCTTGTGTTGAAAGTAATGATTATTACTTCCTGAATATATTCCCGAACTTTCAGTTAATTTTTTCCATGTACCAATTCATTCATTCATGTATGGTATGACATAACACATTTCGATGGTAATTTCATCCACATGCAATACATTTGATCTGAAAATCTTGAAGTACATGGATAAAATAATATCGCTTTCTCTCCGTGGTTAAATGTTTGTTGTTACCAGCTTTGCTCTCTTAGTAGAATTGTGAAGAAAGCAAGGCTAAATCAACAGCCAAAAAATCAGTGAAATGTTCTGCTTAGTGCTACATGAATTTCAGGCATGTTTCCACTACAAACAGCCTGAGAGGTGGCTACCTTATGTAAGTGTTGAAATCCCACTTTTAGGGTTTTTTCTTTGCTTTTAACCCTGGACGAAAAGGATGTTAAAAAGATAAGTCTCTGTACTAAGAACCTGCTTTCCAGTAAACTTGTTGGTGGATTGGAGTCCTTCCTCTGTTTCTGGGTATCTGGGTGTTGATACTGTTTTTTGGGAAGAAGGATCTGGACCTTCCAGTCATACACACCTTCTATTTTTTCACATTTTAGCTTACAGACACACAAAACTTGAGGAAATTCTGTTACCCAAATATCCACTGTTTTTACTTCCTCCGGATTCTTAATAACAAAGCATCAATGACTTGCAGGAATCACTCCACCCTCACCTCCCACTGGTCAGGCCCAATTCCACAAACATCCGTAGCAAAACCTGAATCTAACCCATTTTGTTTCAGCAAGGCTATGCCAATAATTCCCTGGTATTTATATGAGGGGTCCTCCCACTACTATACTCAGGAGGAACTCCTGAACTTGGCAGCTATTTAACTGTAGGCAGAGATCTTAATACAGGTACTTGAACATCTCTTCTTGCATATAATACAAATTTTATCATTTTTCCATTTTCTTGAGTTCCTGCTGGAACAAATAACCATTGAAGAGTGGTTATTGACTTTATGGTATCAATTAACATCATGGCACTAGTGGTAGTTAATGTTCTTTTCTTGACCAGCTAGTACTAATATTGTTATTGGCCATTTACACTGATTATATTGTAATTTCACCACTAGACCAGGGACAACTAGGCAGCAGAGTGTCCCTAGTCCTTGTTATTGAGAGGAAGAGATGATGCCAAAGGGCTTCACTGAAAGGGATCTGTTATTTTCTATTGTTTTCATTCCTCCTCAGGATTTTTCTTTTTCTTAACAAAATGAGCCAATGAAGAATTTATGTATTCTATCCCATTTTCTCATATCTTTGCTTCTTTTTCTCAGATTTTACCATTTTGCTTTCCTGCAGTCCCATTGGTGTGCCCTAAAGGAAGTTTTTATAATTTTCGTCAATGATCTTTTGCAGTTACCATTTTTGCAGTTTACCATTTTTTGCAGTTACCAAATTTTGCAGTTACCATTTACCCCTATTTACACAAAGAGGTAAACCCACAGTGAGGACTATTTTCCCTTTTCTGTTCCCTTTGATTTTTATTCTGAAATGGAGGCTTTGCATCTTTTTTAACCATATTTCTGAAAATTACAGTATATGCAGACTTTTTTTTGATCCACAAGACTGAGATTTCCTTGTATTCCCTCTTATCTTCATTACCTTAACCATTGTCCCTGTCCTTTTCTGTTGTTTACCCCTCTCTTTTCCTACATATTTTTAAAAATATATGTGAAGAAAAAGGATGTTTTCATAGATGAGCAATGTTATTATTCTTTTCCTCTATCTCCTATCATGGTTTAACAATGTATGTATGAGTCATCTGATGTGGCATGACAAACAAGTCTTCATCTGTATCCATGGATCTGTTGTGAGGAGATCAGTTTACTTAGCTTACCATTATCAGAATAGCCACTGCTATGAATACTGTGTTAGCAAAAAGGATGTTTTGATCACTACCATAGTGGTGGAACATCAAAAGGAAGAGGATAATAACTTGTACCTGTTCCTGGGGTTTGCATGTTTGTGGGGAACATCTTATTGTGAAATCTTGAGGTAAGCATTATTCTGCCTGTGTGACTTCACCCTTTTGTGAAATAGAAGAAATGTCAGTGCTGATGCCAGATTTTATGGAACAAGGTGAACTCTATAACAAATAAAGTGTGATAACCCAGTCTAACCCCCAGTGTGTGAAAAGACCATACATGCACTCATGATAATATAGACTCACCTTCATTTTTAGGACTTCAGCATGTACACATGCTTTCCCTGAGAGATCTACCACTCTTAAATAGTTCAGTTTACTTGAAATACGACTATACGTGGAAACCAGTTAGAAAAGTAGATGGTAATTCTATTCTGTGAAACAATCCACCAGTATTCCAAAAGGGGTTTTGTCATATACATATTTGGAATGAAATGAAGAACTGTATTTCAATAATTTTTGTTCTTGTTAACACACAATTTCTTATACACATTCATGTGTGAGAAATTCTTCTGATCCTGTCACATAATCTTTGTGACATAAGTATCATAAGAATGCTATGTGACACACTAGCATTTTTCTGATATGTTGCCAAGATAAATAATCTAGGCGGATATGTTCTCCTCCCTCATGTGCACCATACCATGGACTCAGTTTGGTTATAGGACTTGGCCTGGTTCTGACCACACCTACTTATAACTTCCAACTAAATGGATGCCTTCATCAACTTTTACCAGCCTTGCACGGTCACTGCAGAAATCATCTGTCTCCTTTAGGATGTGGGATAACTTAGCAAAGTATCTGTCCTCAGGCACCATGGAAAATGCTATAATGTCTTCTGCAAATGGCCCATGACATGGAATCACTGCCAGGTCATTTCCTCTATTACTTAGATAGAAGGCTTTGTTTGTATACCCCCAAGCCCAATAGACGCTCACCAGAGGCAGTTTGAAAACAGTTAATTTTCTAAATTCAGTTCTGCTTCATAGTACTGACAATACAAGGAACAGCTGAGGATGCTCTCATCAAAGAATCCCTGCATCATTTAATAAGCATATCTTGCCCACAGGAGGGGGGTCTCTGGATCCTTAGGATATTTGCATTAGTTCTCTAATTTCTACTGGAACAGCATTCCTGGTGTACCAGGTGCAGACGCTGAATACAAGGGATATAGGCATTTTCTTACAGTAGTTGGTATCTCAGTTGACTAGATGCTCAGATGAGCTGAGAGTTACTTCCTTGAACATTTTCCACACCAACAACATCATTTGCTCTCAGTGAAAGGTGACGTGGAAAAAAAGGACCGCTCTGAACACTTCATTCAGTCAGGGTGAGCTGTTAATCATTAATTATTTATAGCTGACTATAAAAGGAGATCGAGGAATTACATTTAATGCCATGACCCTCACGCAGATTCACGTGTCATTGCATGCAAGCAGAATGTGAACTGTGCAGAGGTTGTGACTCAGGGTTGAGTCACAAAGGAGGAAGTCTAGAGTGCAAAGGTGAGGAAGTTGCAATACAAGCCTTCATTTTGTTCTTTCAGTTATCATTGGGTGGTTCTAAAGCGCTGTCTGAAACCTTGTGGTTCAAGGGTCCCCATGAATATTGACTTTTTATGGAGCCATCCCCCAGTCTTTCCGGCTCTGACCTACAGCCTTCATCTCCCATTCTGTCTGGGAAGTAGACAAGAAATTATGTTGTGATTTCACAGCCTACACAGGGAAAGGGAGGAACATTGAGCAAGACCCCTGTGGTTTGCTGATTAGTTAAATATTTTTTATTGGTTCTTACTGCTGTTTCTTGGGCAGGAAGGTCTCTATTTTACTGATATTACTAATTACTGATATTACTAATTACTATATTACTGATATTACTCATATTTGGCTATGATTAGCACTTTCATTGATCACTTTGCTGTTTAGTATGTTATGTCATTTTTACTCAAAGCTTATGCTTAGAAATGAGTAAGACATAAATAAGAAAAAAAGGTGAAATTTGGATTTGCAAGGCCAAAGTCTAATAAATTCAAATATCAGCGGGAAATATATGGGAAAATGTTGGTTTTCCCTAACATGGATAATATCTGGATGTATTATCCAGATAAACGTTTTTGGAATCAAAATATATTTTAATGACTTTATGACATGCCAGCTTGTCAGAACTGAAGTGAGTCTTTTCCATTCTCTCTGCCACCAGCTTCGGCTGTTGACAGTCCCTGGACTAAAGATAACTTAGAACTGCAAGCAAACCAGGATCTTGTGTACCTGGAAGTGTTAGGAGAGACAAGGAGCTTGGATTAACCATTGGATAGGACTTTAGGAAATAAATTTGTGGGAATTAAGATTAAAGACTCCTTATGGAAAGAAGGAAATTGGGAGTTAAGAGAAGCTGCAGATGGGTAATGAGAGAGAACATCTAGTTTGAGTCAGTGGAATGGCTACAAGCGATTACCTCCTCAGTAACTGTAGCCATAATGCAGCTGGCCACAACTCAGTGAAATCTGACGATCTAGTTGCTGAAGTCCTGGATGGTGAGAGATTTATTTTATCCAGTCTCTTTAGAACTGTTTCTTGCAAAATGGTCACATGCAGCACAACTTGATACCCTAACTGGAATCTTCCTGTTGAATCTCCCTGGATTGTTATCAGAGATGCACTGGTGTGCTTTGTAAGGCAGACAGAGCTTTGGCATGTGACAGCATGTTTCTGGATGCATAGGTGGTTGATATGAGGAAGCATTACCCCTACTGTCTGTGGTTATGGCTGTTTAAAAGGTTTGGAGCCTGTGAACACGTCTATACTGTATACAAGTACCTGTAGAAACACAGTTCCCTTAGAGTGTACCGTCATTTGTTTTATGGTAAACATAAAAAAGGAACAAAGCAATTTGACTGTGTTTAAAGATTAACATACCGAACATGTTCATAGTGCCATAATCAATGACTTATGAGATGAACTGAATGATTATTTTTAGTCGTTTCAACAGTGTAATAAAATTCAATCTATAGATTAAATATGTAAGTATGCTTCCTTAATGCTAGAGGACAAAAAAGTCATATTACTTACAGAAACTTAAAATATTTCCCTATTTTTTGAAAGAAGCACCAGTTTGAGGATACTTTCCACAAAACAAACAAACAAACAAACCAAATAAACAAAAAAACCCACCTGTGAGACAGTTTGGGTCCAGAGGATAGTAATGGCAAAGATCAATGGCACCAACTCTATCTAAGTGGTTATAGAAACTAGGTTTTTTATTTCATTCTAGATTGTTTTGTTTGGGGTTTTTTTGTTGTGGTTTTTTTGTTCTGTTTTGTTTTTTGTCTAGAGAGGACAGACAACATTTGTGAAAGCAACATTAAAATTTTGGAAGTACTGCAAAGTGGAATGGAAGAAGTTGTTCTTTGTATTTGCTGGGAATAGGAAAGGGCTAGTAGGTCTAACCTATCTCAAGGGCAATTCGTGTTAGACATCAGAAAAACTTCCTAGTATTTCAGATGGTCTAAAGGTCTCCATCTTTGTTTTTAGAAGCTATCAATGAAGAGACAGAACTTAAACACCTGTCAAGAATGACATATTTAACAATTGATCTGATCTGGAGGAAGGAGGATGGCCAGGATGGCGTTTTGACATTATATGTCTTCCACATATAACAAACTTTAATTGTAGAATTGAGAAATAAACAAAAATTTGGAATTCAGTATTACTAGGCAGAAGCTGAATGACAGGTTTTTAATTCTCATAATTTGCTGTGTAATCTAGACATTTCACAAATTGTACGGAATAGAATTGCAAGTATTCATAAAATATGACTTTGAATAATATTGCACAAGTGAATAAGTCAATAGCTTTGATTTCTGTACAGGATATAATGTTAATGCTGTTATATATTTCATATACAGTGACATATTGTTAGTGACATTGAAAACTCCTTTCCTTCTTCCTTAGGACTTCAGCTGTCTGGGATCCAAGACACAGCTGTGTCACCCTCTCTCAGACTTGTGAGGACATTGTGAAATTCTGGGCAAGAACTGCAAAGTTGATAAAGTGGACTTCTACAAGGTAAGAAAGGTAAAATGGCAGACAAAGGTAATAGTCTTGAGATGGAGTTAAGCAACAGTTTAAGGATTCAAGAGAAAACATCATCATGAAAAGGGAAAAGCAGCAATTTGGAAGACAGCAATTAAGTCACAATGAGAATCTATTCCGGAGGCAGTAGAAACAAGCTCTACCCCACCTCACTGGGGACTTCTTGGCCAGCAAAGACTTTTCCTGTTTCTTATTCAGAACACTGAGCATACCAACAGTCAGTTTAATATTTCATTAATTCAAGTTATCAAAACATGGTTGTGTATGATAACTAATCAGTAACTGCTGAATACTTTTAAGTTGTGTGTATTCAATTTACAAAGGGCTCTTTGTGCTCAGCAAAAGGTGTCTGTTCAATCAAAGGGACTTGGTGAGGGAAGGGTTACTTATGCTGTTACAATGTTACCAGGCATATCACTGCCCAGAAAAGTTATCAGTAAAAAAAAATTGAATGTGTCTGTAATAATATATGTTTTATTCAGCTTCAATTGTTTTCCACCTGGACAAAGAAGTAATTTTGTTAATTTTTTTTCCTGCAATTTTTCATTTGTGGTATAAAGTCCTGAGCATTTTTAAATCCCAAATGTTTCATACTGTATTTCTTTAAATGCATTTTTCTGTTATAACTGTAGTAAGAATATAATTTTAAATGCAACTATACTGCAAGTAATGATTATGAAAAATATTATATCCTCACACATTAATGCATCGTTGAGTCATATTTAACAACTTTGGTGACAAATAAACACCAAGGAAGTGTTTCCCATATACAGAAAATATTTCTCAAAATGAGATGTAGGTTTGTCTGGATTTTCTCTTGTTTAAGTATAAGCCAAAAAACTTTGAAGCTTTCAGAAACAAGACTGAGTTTGTGAAGCTGAAAACTTACACATTAGTCATAGGAAGCTAGTGACGTTAGTTGATGGCAGTCCTCCTTAAGAGAATAAATAATTAACTTCAAATCAGATCACGGGACAACAGAAGTGGAGTTTTGTAATTTTAAAGCATGCTTTTCAGAGTAAACTTTCTTTTTAAACACAAATAGTAGCTTGGTGCTTACAATAACTTGATTTGTCGTCATGCTTAATCTGGGACAAATAAAATGTCCACCGATTCCAAAAGGCATTATCTCGTGGCTGAGCATACAACATAGTTCAAGGAACACACAATTCTCGTTTTCTGACAGTATAATAATTTTTGTCACATATGACAAGTCTTGTGGACAGAATGGTAGCCAAGTTGGCAAAATTCCTGTGCAACGTACTATTCTTTTCCAACACTGATTAACAGGAAAGAGGCTCCTAAAATGGAACACGAGTTCCCTGAGTACTATAAATCAGAGCTTCTTCACAGTTATTCTAATTTATGCTAGGATTGAATATCATTGAGGAATCATTACAGAATTTCTGGGATCCACTCCACAATTTTGTCTACCTGGAGCTTATTGGAAAATCCAACTCTCCATCTTTAAAGTAAAGAAAAGAAAGAAGTAGCTTGTGGAATTTTTCTCTGGTTATATGTATTATATTCAGACTTTGAAGTATTTGCTTCAGTTTCTAGTCTTGTTTGCTATTTTTATTGTAAGTATAAAAAAGGCTATTTTTTCTTGATATTATTTAAAAATTTTGAAGGCATAATGACATCATTTCACTATGTTTTGTCTCTGCTATCAAAGTTACATTAAAGTTTTTGCTTTGGTTGTTTATTCTGATATGTCCCAGTTGGCCATCCCCTTGGCTGGCCTGCATCAGATTAAAAAAAATATATGGAACCAATGTGTGATTTGTGGGATGAGATTCTCTCAACACAAATTGTTTTCTGGAAGCATAAGCAGTTGAGACTTCACCACAAAACATGACAGCTCTATTTTTTAAATGCCTTTTCTACTGTTCCAGAAGTTTGTTCATCAATGTTGAGGCATTTTGACATATAGGAGAGGGTTGGACAAGCAAATTTTGGTAATTAAGTACTTGGAAACTATGGAATAATTAATAGTGAGTTACAATACAGGATGATCAATGTTACCTAACTTAACTGCAATCCAAAAAATAGGTTATAATTATACAAAATACAATTTAAACACTATTGTGAATAACAGAGCTATACTGAAAAGACTGGTGAGTGATCTGTAAGAGCAACGACTTAGTGAAGAATTTAAGGTTTGTCATAGTTTATTGTACCAGTACAGTCTCTCATTGCACTAGAGTGCCCAGGAGAGATTATTCAAACCATGCATTTATATCAAGTAGGAGAAGGGAATTAATTGTACCTCAGTTTAGCATTACAGAGTTGACAAACTATTTCAAAGGATCAGTGGTCATCCTTCCAACATACAAGAAGTTCTTATACTCAAAATTCTAAAAAAGATGAGTGAATATAATGTAAGAACAATAAAACCATGTCAGCCAAAGGGAAATTGGCTACTATCTTAATAAAGAGAGGGTTGAGTAAACCTTATGAATATGTATAAGTATTTTCACATAGAAAATATATCTGACAATGCAGGTCCTCATAGAAATAATAATATCCAATAGGTATTGTTCTGTCTTCAAATAACAATGTCTGTGAAGGGAAATGGAGCACAGAAACAGTTAGCCAATAGGTGCAAAAAACTTGCAACCCATTGCAATTTTTAAAGTACAACTAGATATTTTCCTCACGTATAGACTTGACTTTACACAAGGACAACTTTTGCTGACCCGATGAGTCACTTGGCAGAACTTTCAACTGCCTAAGACATTTACCACACAACTCAATAGAGGTAGCTCTTTGAGCTGCAGTTGTTATTTGCTTCATAGAATCCCACTGGTCCACTGCTGGATAGGGCTGAGATGGAGGTGTAGTGGAGTTTTGGACAATCCAGGTGCATGAACCTTATCAGTTATTTTTTATGTGCTTGTACAAGAGATTTGAATTGTCCAACATTTCACCAGATCTCTACTTCTTCTAATTCTTGGATAACAAACTGCTTTGGGAAGGAATTTTGAATTGTTTATGGGCCTTAAATAGCTCAAAGGCCATAAATTGGTCATCTCTGTTTAAATCCATCTTCTGTGTGAAATTTTGTGACTAGTAAGTAGAAGGAGAAAAAAGAAAGGTTTTCTTTCTTCTGGACTTCTGAATGATCAGGACACTCTGCTTTTCATGACATCTTTACTTAGCATCAAGTCCATATCCACTCGATACAGACAATGTCTATAGGAGATTTCATGCCTCAGCTCTTCAGTCTACAGAACTTAAAAATCTCCCTTGATGACATTAACGGTTGGTTAAAGCTGAGGGTAAGCTGTTGATTTAACCAAATAACTGACCTGAGCGAAGACAGCATTTTTCAAACATTGAGATTATGAATCCTTCTAATGTATTTAGGGCAAAACTGGTCACCAGACTTTGGATGAGACAGCATTTCTTCTCAGAAGAAAATGACTGCCACCTACATTGTTTCTAGGTGTTTTTTTACATATTTGGTTGTGAATCACCTACTACATTCACATACATGTGAATATATTTTTATACTCAATGCAGGTAATGTGCAGTGGTGATGCCTCAGATTCTTCTGTTGTTGTTTCATGATGCAAATTTAACCTCTTCAGGCTGAAATTACATAGTCAAACCCAAATTATCAGTTTTAACATGGATGTATCTGAATGATTTATAGTCAACTGCAAATTATAAGAGATCAGAAGGATTTAGTGATCTTTTGATTTCAAATTCTGTGCAATTGTGAAGCTGAGTGGACAGTCAAAGTATACAAGCTATAGAGAAATTACAAAATTTTGTATCTTACTAAGTAGATGTAAAATACTGTAAAATATGTTCCCAATTTTCCCATCTTTTGAGTATCAGTTTAGTTGCTTCAGCTCATGGTGTGATAAGGACAGGTGTCTTTCATTTTCTTTTCTTTACTATGTGCAGGCAATAGAAACTCTGGTAAAAATTAAATTGCTCTTCTGCTGTATTTCTATTTCCCTTTCTTATCATGATTGCACTGCAACAGCATCAAGACTGATATGGGATAACAGAATGTTGTGAAAGTTTTGACCATTCTCCCTTTAAGGTGAAATAGTTGTGAAAGTCCTGCATATAATACTTAATTTTTTTAATCAAATAATTTTCTTTAAAGTTTCTCGTTTGACTTTATTCAGTTTCCCTGAAATAATTGGACCAGTTCATTAGGATCAAGTATAGGAAAGTATTTAGGCACACAGGTTAAAACCCATTAACTGCTGTGGATAGACCTCCATACAGATATTTCAGAATGACTTTTCATAAACAGATAGTACTTATACAGGGAGCCCCTGGTGGTCTAGTGGTTAAGGGCGCGGCGCTGTCACCGCCGAGGCCCGGGTTCGATTCCTGGTCAGGGACACTCCCTGGGCAGATGGAGCTCGTTAGCCCTATGAGGTAATCCATCTACATCCTAAGGACCTCGCTGCCACCGTCCAAGCTCGCTTGGCCCCGGCAGATGAACCTTAGGATTAAAGGGTGGGCTCAGTTCCGCGCACACTGTGTCTCACCTAAAAAATCCAATGCGCAGGCTGGAAGGTGTAAAGACCTTCCCCGGATCTTCACTCGCGAAGACTGGCCATTATTATAGTACTTATACTTACTAATCCTTTGTATTTTGCTTGACTGACAATGCTAAACTACCCTTTCTAAACCATTTCTCAAACTGATAAGACTATTTATATTCCAAAATTTATAAAAATACTGTTTTACCAAAATTTTGAGATTACAGGCATACATGATAAAAAGGAACAAAAATAATTTCTTCTGTGTAATTATCAGATTTAGTAAGTTTTTTGTGAGTTAAGTTATAGGACACCTACAGAGAAATTAATATAAATCTACCTGTCTTCTAGGACAAGTATTTTTATTTAACTTTTCACAAATTTTACTTCTGTAAAAGTGTTGAAAATATCTAGTTTAATACATACAATGAAAAAAGAGTTAAGAAGTAAAATTAATTTATTTTAAATGTTTTAAATATTTATTATTTTCATCAAAGTAATGCCTACAGATACTGATAAAGCCAACACATTTCACAACGTCCATTAATAGTGGTTCAAGTGGACTACTAATAAGAGGTCCATTTCAAACAGTTTAGAATCTGAACATAAATTCAAAAATCAAAAATATGCTAATTGAGAAGATTTCTGTTGACCACAGCTATTTCCAAACCATTTTTAAACTGAATCTGAAACTCATCTTGCTGTTCTGCAGTTATTTAAATGAGAAATTATATGCACTATAGTAAAATCCTATTTTCTTTCATGCTAGATGGGTCATGTTTTCCTGGATTAGACTTAGAAGATTGGAAAAGAAACAAAAGAGTAAAACAATCCTTCAGCATTATTTGGTCTCTTTCTCGCTGTGTATTCAAGAATGGATTCATCCTTAAGTGTAACAGTTACTTGGAGCATTCAGCAACACCTCTAATAAGGTAAAGAGGAATTCCTCTGAGTTTTAAGGAGCATAGTTAAGCCAACAGTAGATACAGGGAAATTTTTTTGATGGAAGAATAGAGTATTCAGGGTTGTTTTCCCAGGTGACAATGAAATAAATGTGTGTTTAAGGAGTAGTATTATTCCCTTTAGGAAAAGAGAGGTACAGTCCAAAGTGCATACACTTTTCTCTCCAAAATAGGAGAGGCAATTGGAGTGGGAAAAAAACCGACAGAAAGCTATTTGTTATCTCTGTCTTACGTAACAAGAGCAAAGTCCAGTCATGCTGTGTCTGAACCATCTTAATTCTGCTCGTGTTTGAGTAATTTTTCAGAGGACTGGACACAGAGCAAGAACAACCTTCCAGGTATGTCAGTAGTTTGAGATTTTTTATAAATAAGAGATATTTTATAAATTCACTGATGTCTAAAATTGGGACAAATCCAATTAACTGGATAACAGTTAAATCTTTTAAATAAACATTTCCTTTCTCCTTTATTTTGTATATCTTTGCAAATTGCAGAAAATATTATGCTCGGGTCACTCAAATGAAATGAAATGAACAACCTATTGTTATCAAATGGATACAAATACAAAATGTAGGTGTTCGAAAAGAAACAAAAACTCTGAACTGTTCTCAACATGCTTATACTTTTTCATTATGAGGATTCACTTTCAATGTATGATGTTAATAAATTTACTAATTTCAATAAGTATCTATATTTGAGATTAGTGTCCTTTGCTTAAGGTTATATATTTCTCATTCAATTATTTTACAGGGAGCTATTTTCAATAAATTTAAAATGCATTCTGAAGATGAAAAGAAGAACTATACTGTGGATGGAAATAGTTATGAGGTCACCATCCAGGGTCATGAATACGAAGACAAACCGTAAGTATTCTTAAACATTGTAAACATTCTGTATTGAAGCTTATAAGATTATTTTATATAATATTTATTTTATATTATATTTAATTTCATTTGTTTATTTTACTTTATTTTTCAGAAAAGCCTAATAACAATAAGCTTTGTATCAAATTGAGAGTAGCATTGATTGACATGTTTATTGGTGCAGAAGGACCCTTTATCTTTTTCTTGTAAGGATTAAGTGTCCACAGTATTGACTAGAGTTTATTGAAAGATAAATCTGAAATATGACAGAATTTATGTTGGAGTGAACATCTTGGATACATTTATGTTATCTGCTAAACATTATCTTAATATCTTTCGCATGGCAGGGAATATTTTACATACCTCAAAAATTTTATGTATTCCCCACCCGCTGTTGATTTTGTAAGTTATTGTCCCCTTTCCTATTTTGAAATTATATAGTGCTTCAGTTCACAACTTCTCTGACCAGATAGTGGAACCACTGAAACAGGTGAACTGGGGAGAACTTGACTTAAATTTACAGCATTCAGGAGCTGATACCTGGTGATTTAAGGTATTCTCAGGAATGCTCAATAAATCGTATTCATTTTAAACACAATTTTTTGGCTGTAAAATTATTTCGCAGTTATGTTTGAATTGAACTGCTTTAATATGTTGCACTAGTATTTCTGTAAAATGTCATCCATTTTTAAATTCACTAAAATCATCACGCCTTTTCTTAGTGAGAAAAAGAAGAAGCAGAAGAAAGGGGAAAAACCTAAGGTGGTCAGCCCGTTTGCTCTGGTAAGATTTATTCTTTCTGTATATGTGTACCTATATATACATGCAGGCACATTTCAAAAGGCTAAACAAAAATTATTGCAGTTATGCTAGTGTACTGCATCTATGATACTGTCTGTACCAAAAATTTTGAGACTGCAGAATACTGGCTGTAGAATAGAAATCAAGCAGTTCTATTTGTGGATGCAGTTATATTAAAGAAGCTGTCTTATTACTGTTAAGGATTCTTAGGAGTCTTCCCTTAGTAAACGATCATGCTAAACACACCCATAACAGCTTTTTGCTTGTGAAAGATAGGGATTTCCATGTGCAGTCATTTCTTCTGACACAATAAAAAGGGCAGCCATGTATCTACAATTATGTGTGGTCTTATCCTCTAAATTACCAGAGTCAGGTACTAATTATACTAATTAGGCCCATCAATCATTATTCAGTCATCTGAATCAGCAGTAAAGAGTGACTCCGTGGCATTGACAAAACTTAAAATTAAGAATTGAGCACTAAAAAGTACTTTAAATTCCAGATTTTTTTTCTGTATATTTAAAAAAAAAAATCACATTATTTTAATATTTAATCAAAATTAACCATAGGTCCTCTTTTAGTACTAGTGAAATATTTTCTGGTTTTGTAGGTTTTGTATGCATGATACACAGCAATGATATTGCAAATAACAGACATAAAACTATAGTCCATGATGCTGGACAACGCCCAATTTCTTTGCTATATCAGCTTGCACTTGTACAATTACATCATAGGACAATAATTTATACCAATAAACATAGTATTTTACAGTACAGAATAAAACCAATGGCTTTGTAATAGATTAACTCAAGCTTTATTAAGTTCAATGGCAGGAGGATTTAGGATTTCAGCACATTTTTATAATGTCTGTAGTACATTAGGAACCGTTTTTCTGACTCCATAATAATGAATTTAAAGCAAAAGAAATTATTGCCTTAATTATCACAATGCCATTAAAATTTCTTATAATTTGAACTTTATATGGTGAACTTACAAAGGGCAAATTTCTTATGCCTATGGCCTTTCTTACCCAGGTGCAAATATTAATATAGCACACCTCTCTAGTTTTGTGAGTTTATAGCATAAAAGTGCTTATATTGAAAGGATTTATTCCTGTACATTTAAATTGTTTTGTAAACTGAATTTCTGATAAAGTTATAGTTTTGTGACAGCAGGTGTACAACTGATAGCTTTGTCTTTACTTTCTTGACTTTGTAGACATAGCATTGTGTTAGTATTCTAATACAACAGAATTAATTTCTCTTCTCACTCACAGTTTCGATACTCCACTTGCTCAGACAAATTATTAATGCTAATAGGCACTACTCTGGCAGTAGCCCATGGAAGCGCTCTCCCTATTGCAATGATAATTTTTGGTGATATGACTGACAGCTTTGTTGCTTCTGAAGACTTTAATTTTACAGGTAAGAATATATCTGCAGTGATGAGACCAATGGCTCATATTTAAAAAAGAGATGGGGAAATTCAGGCATGTTGACAGGACATATTGATGTCAGAAACCCCCATGCTATACTACCACACAAATTAGTAAGTCATGTTCATTGTAGTAGCCATACACTATATTTTGGGGGATTTTTATCGTATTTTTCAGTTTCTGCATTAATAGATTTTATTTTTGACTTTTTTTCCCAATTATCTGCTACAGTGCACTTTCAATAAGTCATGTTTAACTGTGGTTGTAATAAATACAAAGTGGCTGGTTTTCCATCTCTTCAGCATGGGCTCTTGTTGATTCCCTTGCATCAAATCTGACAATTATAGTTTATGAGGTGAATCAGATCAGTAGGTAGATTCATCGGAGATTCACTACCAAAAATAAAAGTACTAATTTTCTCTGGGATCAATTTGTTGACTAGACTCATTTGCTGAATCAGAACTGTGAATTCAAACACAGAGGAGTGCAGGCATGCACTGCTGGATGCAAGAGGAAGGAGTGGTACTGTCACTTTGGTATAAGCACATAGATCAGATTATGTTGTCCTCTGAACTGAGAGCATTGGTAGAGTGTGGGTAGTTTTTTTCATCAGTCCTCCCAGTCAAAGGGAAAGGGTTTGAAAGGGCCAATCAAATCTTGTCAATCAAAAAATGATTACTGGACCGGTGCCCAGGGATTCAGTTACTTCAGACCATGGGACTCACATTGAGAAATCCCTTCTCTTGGGGTCTGGGGGGGTCCATCTGTCAGAGAAGAGGAAGAGCATCTTTGGGCATAGGTTTGCCCAGTCTTTAAACTTAAGTTGCCAAGGGAGAGGAACCTCAGTCCATCCCACTCCTACCAGTGCGATGCCAGCAGCTGCAAGAGATGCCTGGAGCCTGGAGAGGGGACCTACCTATGACTTGAATGTTGAAATGAAAGGATACAGGCTCTTCTGGAAGAACATTTGGGAAGATGAGAAGAGGGTGTCACCTTCTATGCCAATGACCAGCTGGAGTGCATGGAACTCTGCCTGGTGTTGGATTCCTTCTAACCCAACCCATTCTATGATTCTATCTGCGCTCAGGAAGACATTTTAATCTCAAGTTACCCTCATATCATTTTGTAGTCAATGGAGTTATGACTAATCTTATATTAGTAAAGTTCATTAATTTTTGTTAAAATTTTCTCCTTTCATTCAAATCAACTTGATTCCAAATGAGATGTAACAACTCCAACTATGCTGCCCAGCATGCAGGAAAAGTAATTTATTAAAGCTTGCTCTATTAAAAGTATTTTCTCTTTCTTTCTAAGGACTGAATATTTCTCAAATGAATTTTACTTCAGAAATTCTCGAGAAGCTGGAAGAAGATATGACAAGGTAATTAGAAATTGGTATTTCCTCTTTTTTTAGTGTAGGCACACATTTCTGTTCAAGCCATTCTTCTCCCAAGAATATTTTGCACACTTTAAGGAACACAAAAACAATGATTGATTGAATAATATATTTACCTAAAGTTTGGCACATGAGATTATTTGAGGCACTGGGAAGATTCTTGAACATCCCCAGCCATTCCCCAAAATTTCTCTGTCATCTCTTGCTCTCACCCATTTTGCCCCTATTTCAGAGGTGTTCTGTGTTCCAATTACATCTGCCTTGCCTTCTTTTTTACTTCTCTTCCTCTGAATTCATAAAGAGTAATTGTTATGATAAAAAATTATGTTGACTATCATCCATCGATTTCTTGAGCTGTGGTGATTCACTTGCAAAAACCAGGATTTAAATTGTCAGATAGTATCTACTTTGCTGCCAAAGCATCAAGTGCAACTAAATCGCTCTCTACAAATACCTGAAAGGAGGTTGTAGCGAGGTGAGGGTCTGTCTCTTCTCCCGAAAAATAAGCAATAGGGCAAAAGCAAATAGCCTCAAGTTGTGCCAGGGGAGGCTGGATGTTGGGAAAATGTAAATACCTGATGCCTACTTGCACAATATTTTTAATGTCTTATGTTTGCTCTAAAAGAACTTGAAAAATAGTTGTTCTTACTACATATAAAATTATAGAACTTGTATTGCCCATTATTTATTTGCTGAGTGACTTCTCCCTGTCCTTATCACAACCCATGAGCCTTTAATTGTATTTTTCTCCTCCCTGTCCAGCTGAGGAAGAGGATAGAGCATGTTAAGTTGGGCACCTGTCTTCCAGCCAGAATCAAACAACCACAAACATCATGCATGCCACCTTATCTTTTAGACATTAACTCTGAAAGTACAAGTAAGAATAAAAACAGCACAAGTTTCTAATTAGAAATAAATTGTTTAATAAGGAACATCTTGGCAGCACTGGAATAGGTTTGCTTTTTTCAAAGCTTCTAGATAGAGCCTTGAGTTAGTGATTCCACTGGTTTGAAGAAGCAGATGGTTGTACCCACTCCTTGTTTCTCTAAGAACGCCTGCCAGCAGGTCAAATAATAATAAAAACTATTTACAAGGACAAAGTTCTCACAGAGGTGTGTTCAAACACTGAAATATACATGTGGACTTGGTTGTGTTTGTTAAACAACAGCTTTCCCAAACCCCTACTAGTTCTCAGAAGAAAAATAGGTATTACTTTACAACGCAATGAGCATTTACTCTCTGATTAGTTTCAGCAGTGAATTTACAGAATATGTTCCATCAGCACAGAATCTGTCAAAGATAGGAATTCCTCTTGATACAATTTGTCATGAAGCAAAGTCCAAGCATAAATCAATTCTTTGAAGTGATAGAACATCATAAAGTAATTGTCTAAAGTAATTTCTGCTGAATTTAAACACAGTGCTCTTGGGTTTAGTTTGGGAAGGTTTTTTTTTAATTTTATAGAGTTTCAATGAAGCTGAATGTGATCAAAGTCAATATTCAACTAACCAGCATTCTGTTAGGCATTAACCTGCTTTTATTAAACAGTTTTGATTAAATGCATTTTATAATGAGTATAGTTCCAAAGTCCCTAACTAAACTGTATGGTATCATAGCCACAAGAAAGACTAGATTAAAATTTGAAAAGTTTAATCTGTAAAGCCATTCTGTCCTTTTTTGAGCAGAGCATTTGCACACAGATTCCTGCAATTTGCTCCTGCCAAGGAGCATGTAAGAGTTCTACAGAATCAATATGCATAACTTAGTACACAAGTGAAAGTCATTAGAGTTTTAAAGTTTTTTTCTCATTATTTACTTTTATATAGATGCAGTATTCTTATAATTACAGATATATACACCATGAATATTTAAGCCTTGGTTTTGGTCACACTTTACAAATTGAATCAGTTCAGATATATTTTTCTGGTTTAATTCTGGTTTAAGTTCACCTATAACTGATTCTGATGTCAATCATGTATCAAATCAAAATTGATTTAATTCTTTTTGCATAGTTTAAAGTTGTGACTCAAGTTGTGTTCCAGTTTGAGAAATACAGTGGTTCACACACTCCTGGTTTGGATTTGACACCCTGCTCATTGCACAGGGCTGAATTAATTTAAAAGTAAAATATCAGCTATGCACAAAATAGAGAGGAAAAGAATTTTTGATCCGATGGCATTTGCTTGCAATAGATATAGTACATATAGTAATGCTGTATTTTCCAATCAGGAAACATTTCCAGCATCCATCCATATATATATTTCTGTAGGCAGGCACATTGTATGATGTAAATGTGCATGTAATATAGGTATATATGATTAGGTCTGTCCATGGGTGTTAAAAATGCTAAGGATTTTTTGGAATCGACACATATAAGTGAAAATGGCATTGCATCCTGTCTAACTATATCTTTGTTTTGGTTATTGCAAAAAAACCCCCTGACATTAAATACTTTTCATAGAAAACTTACCAAGTTTTACAGAGATCTGAAACAGAAGAAGAAAGCATCATGCTAAATTCACACTGGTGAGGTAATTAAAATCAATGTAAGAGGTTCTTACCTTTTTTACCCTTTTTATTTTTTCTTTTAGATATGCATACTACTACTGTGCAATAGGAGCTGCTGTTCTTCTTGCTGCTTATTTACAAACTTCACTCTGGACCCTAGCATCAGGTCGGCAAATAAAAAAAATTAGAGAAAAATTTTTTCACGCAATTATGAGACAAGAAATTGGATGGTTTGATGTAAATGATGTGGGAGAACTTAACACTCGTCTTCTAGAGTAAGTACACTATACCTTTCTCAATGTTATTTTACCTTATTAAGCACATAGGAGTTACGAATTTTTATTTTTATTTTCACTGTGAAATTAAATTTTCGAGTTTTCTCATGGAGAGTCTCAGAGAGTGAATTTCTAATATTTTTCATACTGGACCATCACAAGGAAGTTAGAAAAGCATTTTCTTAAGTTTCCTTGAACTCTGAGGGTGACTAAAGCCCAGCCTATGCAGTTATCCCTTGCAGGAGAAAACATAGTTCATTTCTGTGCACACTGAGGACTGAATAAGGTGCCAACTGACCCCAGCAGTGTGAACAGCTTTAACTGCTTGACAAGATTTTCTCTTCTCTTTCCCTTTCTTTTATTCCCAAATAGACCACAAGTGCCAAACAGATCAAAAATCTGGAATTAAGAAAGTGAGAGTAGTTTTGCAATGTAGAGAGAATTTCAACATTTTCAGACAAAACTAGGTTTATAGAATTACAGTTTTACAAGAAAGGGGGAATTTTCTTTGACCACACCTTATAGTGGTTTACCTTGAAGAAAACTGTTATTTGGAAACAATTGAATAATAAAGAATGTCCTCCACACAGGTGATCATGTAACAAAACTGAAAACCTTTCTTTCGCTTTCTACATTTTTCCTCCTTTCTGGATCTGATTTGTTTTTCAGTGACGTCTCCAAGATTAATGAAGGAATAGGTGACAAGGTTGGACTTCTCGTTCAACAACTAACAGCATTTATAGCAGGATTTATTGTTGGTCTCATAAGAGGTTGGAAATTAACCCTTGTAATACTAGCAGTAAGTCCTGTCCTGGGACTTTCAGCAGCCCTCTGGGCAAAGGTAGGTTAACATACACTCATTGCCAGGTTTTATATTAATAAGAGATAACAAAATAAATCTACATATCTGAAATTCTTAGTGTTAGAATTTGTTGTTTAGTCCAATTATAGCTTTAGATAACACTTAAGTACATAAACCCTTAGATGAACTGTGTATCAGTACCCTCATGTTCAAGGCCAGGTTGGACAGGGCTTTGATCAACCTGGTCTAAAGGAAGGCGTTCCTGCATATGGCAGAGCAGTTGGAACTGGATAATCTTTAAGGTCCTTTCTAAACCCAATCATTTTACGATTGGCTAATTCTATGTAGTTTGAATAATATCATTCTCATAGACTGGACAGCCTTATTTGATTTGAAGCTGTTTCTGCCAATATAGCACGTTCTATCTAATACAGAGAAGTAGAATCCACACATGTAACTGTTTAACTACATCCACATAAGTACTTATTCTGTTGAAAGGAATAATTACTCCTCCTGAAAAATAAGGGAATAACTTAGAAAAAAACTTGGTCTCAGACACAGAGTTTCTTTCAGAGCTGCTAACAGCTTTGGTAAGAAATTTTAGACAGACTTAGATGAGAGAAGGACCAAATTACCGTGGGATTAGACTGACTTACATTTGTAATTTGAAAGTCTTCAGATTTTTATAGTATTTTATTTCCCTTACATTTTAAAGGTCATGAAAGGTTTCTCTGTCTTGAGTGAGTATATTGCAGAAAAGGTTAGAGAAGCATGTGCCGTGTATGTCTACTGCCTGAGTCTTTACAGACTGTGGCCAACTAATGTAACCTGTAGGGCCCTCTCGCTAATGTAGCCAGAGATGAGAATGAGTTGAGAAGATCTGGCTGGGGAGAACCAGGACTCACTAGGACTAGTCATCTAATCTCCTGCACCAGGTGAAAGCAGAGTGGAAAATCCAGCCCTTACCTGTTTTCAAAGGGTAACATTTAGTTATTTGATTGAATTTACAATATACTTTAGGATTTGGATATTGCACATTCTGCACTCATACATAATATAATCAAAAGGCTTCCTATTGGAAGAAAGTAACTGTGATAAAAGTCATTATGAAGTGATTGGGCTCATTCTAATTTTCCTATGTCAAAACATTTGATCTTATATTAGGTTCTCTCTGCTTTCACTGACAAAGAACAAGCTGCATATGCAAAAGCAGGTGCTGTTGCAGAGGAAGTTCTGGCAGCAATCCGTACTGTAATAGCTTTTGGAGGACAGGAAAAAGAAATTAAAAGGTAAGAGCAATATTTGCTTTCATCAGTGGATTTTAAAGTACTTGTTTCAGATACTTTGAAGTTTTCTGGTATCTTTGTTGTTGAAAGTCTTGTTTTCTGCATTTTTACATAATGGAGGATTGTCAGTTAGAAGTTATTCCAATGTTCACTACATGTTGAAAGACAATTAGGTACTTTTTTAGAAAAAGTCAAAACAAGTAGATATATTGTCTCTGCTTTAGAGGGTAAACAAAGTACTTCAAACATCACACAGCGAGAGCTTTAGACAAAAAAAAGGCCCTGTCATGAGAAGAGATAACGATATCCTTGGTAATCTGATTACTCAGTAGATGTGAAGGTGCTCACAAACGATATCTCTATTTCCACTACTGTAAAACGTAATTCTTGTGATTTATTTTAACCTTTTGTCTTAAGTGGTTCACTATCAGAGTTCACTGACCTTCAGCTTATTTAAGGAACTTGAATGCCAAGCCCTGACCTGCAATGCCCTTTTATTTCTACATATCATGTTGACTGATATTGGCCTTTTAAGGAGTTACCTTAGATTATCCTGTTCCAGGGCTATCTTTGTACAGTCTTAGGTTAGATATTTTATATATTCTGATGTACTTTGTGAGCATGCGTGTCCTAACTCATCCACAGAGTTTTTGGTACTGTGTGCCATGGTACAAGTGTAAGTCTAATTTGAACTTCTTTCTTTCTTCCAGATACCATAAAAATTTAGAAGATGCTAAAAGAATTGGAATAAGAAAGGCTATTACAGCTAATATTTCTATGGGTGCTGCTTTCTTACTGATTTATGCATCATATGCACTGGCCTTTTGGTATGGAACTACTTTGGTCTTAACTGATGATTACACTATTGGCAAAGTTTTGACGGTAAGTATTAGTTGAGTAAACTCTCAACAACAGTGAGAAAAGCACACTGAATTATGTAATGAGAACTTATTTGAGTTTAACAAAAGTTATGGGCCAAAACTGGCAACGTAGCATCCCTTCTTAACAAAAAAGATTCTCACCACAGAAGTCTACATGTTTCTAAAGCATCTCAAAATCTATATGGACTCAAAATAAAACTTACATTATTTTCAACTGTTCTTATGTATTTTCTGACTTTCTTAAGATCAGACTGATATAGAAACAGTTCAATCCAAAGCTGAAGTACAATACCCTTCCTAGTTGCTATTTGCTTTCAGATTTATGGGGCTGAATATATTTTCAGGATGCAGAAACAAATACTTTTTGTTGACTGCTGTATGGTCTAAATAGATAACTTTTTTTACGTTTTGTGCTATGAGAGCTTGGAATCACTTCCCAGTATTTTTAGAAATTGAGGGGGATAAAAATACACTTGTGACTAGGAAATATGTAAAAAACCCATAACTCATAAGTCATAACTTAAATTCTTCTCTTGATGTGACAACCATTCTAATTTTGTGTGAGATATCAAAAAAATAAGGTAAGAATAACTTCGTTAACCATAATAAAAGCCCAGACAGGTGACCATATGCATATGTTTATTTATTTTTTAAACTGCCTGTTTTGATTTGTTTTGTTTATGAATCACTGAAGTTCATGAAAAATGTCTCTGATACGTCTTTTTGGCTTTTTGGAACCTTTTATGCAGGGTGGCATATAGAACACTCACTGAGGTTCATGACCTTGTGTGTAATTTATTCTGCTCAAAGTCTTTGCAATTTCAATTGTCTATGTTATAGTTCATTGAATGGTGGTTTTAAAGCAGGGATGGGAGGGTGTGACCCTATCATGTGTCAAATCTGTGAATAACCCCTATTCAAGACAGTGGCTGTCACGGACTTTGCTCTGTCATACTATGGCTGTTACGAGCTCTGAGAAGCATCATTTTATTACCTCTTTTTTTTTTTTTCTCATACTAACTGAAAGCAATAAACTATACTGCACTGAGAAAAAAGTTGATATGTTCTTTTTCTCTTTCTTGTTTGCTTGCACTCACTCTCATTGAAGCAGAGGGATCCTTTATTACTTTGTGATGGAAAAGCTGGATTTGTATTCTTCTATTTCATTGTAATTTTAAAAGCGGACTGATAGTGCTTTGCATATCTGTCTTGGTTTCACTGGAAGATAGGTAATATACTTTCTGGTCTTCAGAATGTCTTTGGCCTAAGAATGAATTAATACAATAGTATCCCAAGACATCAAGTGCGAGTCTACATTTTTCGGCACAGATTTTACAAATCTCAATCACCTTTTCACTTCTTCTCAGTATGTTTGCAATATTAACGTTGTGCATGAGCTCAGTTCTCAGCTGACTCTTAAAAAGCCCTTTTCTTAATGTTATTCTCTGTTTTCAGTTTTTCTGCAATTCTAGATTCCTTAAACTTCTGTTAACAGTCATGGAGCCTCCTGATGCAAAGATATCTAAAGTAAATAAATAAATGTAATTCTCTGGTTAATAAGAATGAATATATGTCACGATAAATATTTCTTTCAGGTCTTTTTCTCTGTATTGATTGGAGCATTCAGTATTGGACAAACTGCTCCAAGCATAGAGGCTTTTGCTAGTGCAAGAGGAGCTGCCTATGTGATCTTTAATATAATAGACAATGTGAGTATCCTTGCCCTTGTTATTATTTCAAAACTTCTTTTGAAGAGAAGAGACCCTTCTTTTTAAAGATAGGCACTATTTATGGATATGAAATTAGTAAGAATAAATATCTGTGTGAAATAAGCAGAAATATAAAGATAAAACCAGAGAGAATGTATAATTATTAGTCAGTTCTGCTTTGTCTTTTAGAATTATCAGTCCTTGCTTCAGAGGTAGAAGTACTGGATCTCTGAATCACTTGGTTTTGAAGGATATCCTCTAATGTTTTTATCATGAAGGACATATCTGTGGTGCTGTAATCACATGATTACAGACGATGTAGATATATGAGCATAGATTTCATGGTATCAGGGACAGCCGTGGTAGTGTGAGTGCCAGCAAATCAATAAAACACAACCTGGTAAACTGGATATGGACCTCAATTGCCAGGAGATTCTAAAATCAGGGAAGCTGCGATTTTGCTAGCTAATGAAGCTAGCAATTGAATTAATGAAGCTAGCAATATGAAATGCAATTGCATGTTTTGGATTATTGTTAAAGTATACTTCAAGTTTTAGACCCACTCTGTACACAAACAAACCCACTGATAATTCAGAAATCTGCTTCTGAGTAATGATCAGCAGATCAATTGCTTCTCAGACGAATTTTTTCAGCAGAAAGGCCAAAGCTATAAATGAACAGTGTATGAACAGCTCATTAGAGATTATCTACTCAGGTTAATCATCAGGTAGTAAAATGAATCTCACATTATGACTAGCTATGGGTACAGTCTTAAAGACATTTGCTAAATTCACACAAGAGCTTAATGGAAAAATTATAAAAGTATTCTTGCATAAGCCTATCATCCATGCAGCAATGAGGGAGCAAAACATCATGCAATTTATTTATTTCAGAAATCTCAACTAAATTACTTAAAAACCACATTTAATATCTCTGCAGAATAATGGTGCACTCCAGGACTTCTTTATGAAATGGGGTTTTTTTGTATTTTATTTTGCACAGGAACCTCAAATTGACAGTTATTCAGAGGCAGGTTACAAACCGGACCACATTAAAGGGAATTTGGAATTCAAAAATGTTTACTTCAATTATCCATCCAGACCAGATGTTGAGGTATTGTAAATGAAACCTTATATATATTACAGTTAAAAATATAGATCATTTGTTGGGGAAAAAAAATCATTAAAAAGTGACATATATTAAATTTTGTTGAAAATATAACAATTCCAAGTTGATTCTCTAATGTATATAAAAATACCTTACCATCACAGGGATTTTAGCTGGATATATTTACACCTCAGCCAGACATATTAAGTTTTCTATGTAACTTTCTGTCTAAAGCTATAGTAAGCGTGTCTGTGCAAAAAAACATAAATGTGTTTTTCTATCAGAACCTAAACTTACATCCTAACCCTATTGTTTGTGTATAGTAATAATAATGAAATAGTAGGTTTGAGAGTACTTGCAATGCAGCTCTCGATGACTGTGCATGAAACAGTTAAAGAAACAAATCCAGCAAGGACACACTATACATGGAATAGAGATCAGAATCTGTATTTTTCTGTCTAGACAGATAATAAGTTGGCTTTTTGAAGCACTGTCATAAAACCAGAGTCTTAATAAAGTGGAGATGGAAGACATTTGAATGATTTCTGAAAATATTTTCATGGACAGTGTCTTTGCACTATGTGATTATTTCCTTCCTTACCTTGAAGGAAAATCACTGGCCTTGATAAAACGATCTTTCTTACTTTTGATAGGCAGAAAGAAAAGACACAGAGCTTTTAACCATGACTTTTACATAACTTCCCTGTAGTTTGTATGGTGCGTTAAAAAAAAGGGTGAGGCAACATGATACAGGAATGTTGCATCATATGGTTTCTATATTATATTTTAGTTATGGGTAGTAATATTATTATTTCATCATATGAACTGGTTCATGAGAGAGGTAATTGTGAAATGTGTTGTATAACACATTGATATTGGACCAATTGTGTTGTAAATGTAAGAAAATTAAGCTGAAATTTAAACCCACATGTTTATAAATTTTATTTTGTGCCGGATTCTGCTACAAATACAAAGGGTATTTTATTGTAGTCTTTATATTTTCATCAAATTTACACTGATATTTCTGCATACTGTTATGTTTTTGATTACCTTTCCTATGTGCACAGATACTGAAGGGCTTGAATCTCAAGATTAGTTCTGGCCAGACAGTGGCCCTGGTTGGCAGCAGTGGCTGTGGGAAAAGTACAACTGTTCAGCTCATCCAGAGATTTTATGATCCCAAGGAAGGCATGGTAAGATACCTCAAGTGAAATGACTACTGTGTATGTCACACTTGTTGAAAGCCTAGTTCTGGCCTCACTCACCTTGTTCCAATGATATGGTAAAGTCTCACCTAAAAAGGCATGTGCCAGCATGGAAAGAGAGGTTCCTTGATCAAAACACTCGGCAAACAATTTTTGTCTGCTTCCTTTTGATTAGGTTACCATCGATGGGCAGGATATTAAGACCTTAAATGTAAGATACCTGCGGGAGATTATCGGTGTGGTGAACCAGGAGCCCGTGCTCTTTGCTACCACTATTGCAGAAAATATTCGTTATGGCCGTGAGGATGTCACCATGGAAGAGATTGAAAAAGCTACCAAGGAAGCCAATGCTTATGACTTCATCATGAAGCTACCCAATGTAAGCAGATCAGTTCTCCCACTGAAAAAATTTCTTCTAAACCCTCTTGTGCCAAATAGTTCCTCCAATTAGGAGGAATGCTTGTTGAGAGAGGAAGCTATCCTTGGAGCTGTGGATATGCAAAGCTATGCAGAGCTTCCTCATAACTTGTGAGAAGAATGTTAATTTTGTATCTTCAGGTCATGATTTAGCAGGTATTTGAAAAAGTATTAGGATTCCAGGAACACAAATGATTAGGCAGGTTTATTCAAGTGCGTGTTTATTCCTGTGAAGGAAGGAGGAGACGCTACTGGGGCTACTGACACTGATGATTCTTTCCTTTACACTGCCTGTCTTTGGTGGGAGTACCGTGACACTGAGTGTTTTGAATACATGTGGTTGTCTTGTAGAAGTTTGAAACCGTGGTTGGAGAAAGAGGGGCACAGCTGAGTGGAGGCCAGAAACAAAGAGTAGCAATTGCCCGAGCTCTGGTTCGCAATCCTAAAATTCTTCTGCTTGATGAGGCAACATCAGCTTTGGATACTGAGAGTGAATCAGTTGTGCAGGCGGCACTGGACAAGGTTAGTGTTTTAAAATGAAGCAGGTAAGCACGAGCACTTTTCCCCCCAACTTTTGTTGAAAATAGAGACTCATAAAACAAAAAAAGGTAAACTTTGATTTGGCAAATATTCTTTGTACTGAGAATTTTTGAGATCCTGCAAGTATTACAGAGAGGAATCTTATTTTGAGTGAGAAGATGAAATCATATTTTCTGCATTATTAAGCTTAAATCAACATTTTCTTGGTGTAAATACCATCCTCTGCTATTATCTGTCTTACTGATATGAATATTGCTGTCAGTCACCTGCTTAATTAACTTGTGAAGCTTGACAGACAAGATAAGCATTACCAGCATGTCATAATTGTTTGTAGCAGTGACTTGGCATGAAATACTCCAAGGAAACACTTGCTTCAGTTAACATGAAAACTTCTAGGTGCTTCTTTTGCTCTTGATGTAGAATGTCTTGATAATGGACAGCTCATCCCTGGTGCAACTCAGGAGTCCCTGTATTTACCTTAAAAATTTGTGTACTTGTGAACCTTTGCAGAAGAGCTAGGGACTCACAGAATCACAGAGCGGTTGGAAGGGACCTTTAAAGATTATCTAGTCTCCACCATGGAGTAGGGACACATTCCACTTGATCAGGTTGCTCAGAGCCCCACCCAAGCTGACCTTGAACACTTCCAGGGGTGGGGCATCCACAATTCTGGGCAACCTGTTCCAGTGTCTCACCACCCTCATCGTAAACATTTTTTTACTTACATCTAATCTAAATCTACCCTCTTTCAGTTTAAAACCATTGTCCTTTGTCCTGTTACTTCAGGCCCTGGTAAAAATCTGTCACCTGATGGTCGTAAGGGTGGTCACCCTTTATGTACTGTAAGGCTGTAATGAGGTCTCCCTGGAGCCTTCTTTTCTCCAGGCTGAACCCCAGCTCTCTTAGCCTGTCTGCATAGGAGAGGTCTTTTAGCTCTCTGATAGTTTTTGTGGTCTTCCTCAGAACTCGCAGTACTCCAGGTGGGATCTCGTCAGAGGAGAGTAGAGAGGGAGAATCTCCTCACTCAGTCTGCTGACCACGCTTCTTTGGATGCAGCCCAAGTTACAGCTGGCTTTCTGGACTGCAAGCACACATTTGTCAGCTCATGTCCAGTTTTTCATCCACCATTATTCCAAAGTCTGTCTCTGCAGAACTACTCTCAATTCATTCATCCTTTAGTCTGTATTGATGTTGAGGATTGCCTTGACCCAGGTGCAGGGCCTTTCACCTGGCCTTATTGGACTTCATGGTGTTCATTTGGCTTCACTCCTCAAGCCTGTCAGAGACCAGAATGCCATCCCCTCCCTCAGTGAATAAGGTGCACCTCTCAGCTTGATGTCATTTGTAAATTTATTGAGTGTGCACTCAATCCCATTTATCTATATCAATGATGAAGATATTAAATAATATGGGTCCCAGTATGGACTCTGAGGGACATTACTGAACTCCATTTGTTTTCCAACAAAATTCCACTGCTTGGGATCATTACTTTGATTAGTTAAGCTAAAATTTGCTTGATCACTTTAATACAGACTCATAATTAAAATGGCAAGCTGTGACATTTGAAACATTAGGTGTAATACATTTATAAATATCCAAAGACAGGTTGATAGTTGAAATAATTTCACATGAAGTAATAGGAGGTTTTATTTTCATTGTAGCTACTTGAGTTAACAATGACTTAGAGCTTAAAACACTGAAATTTTTAAAATATAAGTGTGAAGTGTTCTCTAATACTTCTGAGTATAAACTATTTTCCATGAATTTTAAGGTTTAAATTGAGAACTATGGGCTTCAATATAAAACCTTCTGGCATTTTTTCGATTTTAAGGTTTGTAACATTCTAAAATTTTAAATATTGAGAATATTGTTTAGATATTTGTGCTCAAAATTGTAGGATGTATGTGTGCCATGGTGAAAGGTTGTCTCTTCTTCATCTTAAGGGTAAAGATTATATTTCTGTTTTAAGGTGCGCATTGAAATATGGTTTCAAATCTTTTTGGAAAGTTATATTTTTCTGTGAACCATTTCAGTGTTTCCTTTAGGTATTATTCAACTCTAATACACAGAGGAACACTTTTTGAATTTACTTAGAAACACTCATATTATACTTGGCTCTTTCTAGGCAAGGGAAGGACGCACCACGGTTGTGGTGGCTCATCGGCTGTCAACAGTCCGAAATGCAGATCACATCGCTGTGTTTGAAGGTGGAGTTGTTGCCGAGCAAGGAAACCATGTTAAACTGATTGAGAGGAAGGGAATCTACCACAAACTCGTTAACATGCAGGTACTTTTCTCGCTAGCTGTTGCCTCATTTTCTTTTTTGTTTTCCTCACCCACAGTCATTGTATGCTATCAGAAGTATGAGGAAGTGTTTTGAAGGAGACCAGTAATTTGAGAGAGGAGACCACTAGTTTTGACACAAGACCTATTTAAACCCAGGATAGTACATTTTTAATCCTCTAGTTATTTAAATCTAAAAGATTATTTTATGTTTTCCTTTTGTGCAGATAATGTAGAGCAGATGACTACAGTAGGTTGCTATTCTATTTCTTGTTCTTAGCCTATGATAAAAGGTAAAATACAGTAGCTGATACTGAAGGAATAGAGCACGCATATTTTAAGCTGTTTGTTTATATTCCTTCATATTGAATTTCTTTCTAAAGAAAAGAATGTGGGAGAAGAGTAGAAAAAGAAAAATAATCCAGCTATGCCAAGTGTGAAAATACGTTTTGAAGTTATGTAGACAGAAAAAAAGAGATTAGAAATTATAATAAATATCAGAAATATATTCATTATTACGTGAAGACCAAAATACTTTGATACTTACATCCCAATGTCCCATGTGACCATTAGGTTATAGCAGAGCTTCACTGCATAACCACCATGTCCATTAAAGAAACTGAAACTGCCTCCTCAGTATGTCAAAGAGTAAACCAGACCAATTAGAATATTTCTTCATAAAACATGAGAATGCATTTGGTTACCTTAGATTCAAAGTAACTTTGTATGCAAGCAAATGTGATCAAGGGAAAAATGAGGAAATATAAATTGGAAAGAAAATTAAAAAACAAAGAAACAAAAAGTGGAAAGCAAGAAAAAAGTAATTTTTATTAGTAGTGCAAAATGCAGGAAGAAATAAAAACTTTCTGGAAAAAATAAAAACAAGTTGAAGGCAATTTTGACTCCCGTTACTATTAAATAGCTCAGGGGTGGGTAGACATTTATTAATTCTGTCAAAGAGACTGGAAAAACTATCACCAAGAGTAGGGCTCTTTTCCAGACTGCTCAAATTTTTCAGTCAAAATCTCTTTTTGACCTCTTTCATCCTGAACTTCCATATTCCGTTTAAAGTCAAGTATTGCTAAGAGTGGTCTGCAGTAAAGCAGGTTAATTTTTTATCTCTTCATAAATAAAGAGTGTATACCCTGAGAACCCAAGATGAGTGCAAAACATTTACCCTCAATTTAAAATTCTGTTAGTAGTTAATTCATAGAAAAAAAAAGAGTAGCCACTTACACTCCCCTGCCCTCCCCTTAATATAAATATTTTCTTGAGAGGTGTGATACTCATATGAATAAAGCTCTGAAGACAGAGATCTACTAAAATAAAACACTGATTTTCATATCTCCTTTAAAACATGTTGTTTCCTCCATATCTCTTTCAAGTTACTTTTACTTTGATTACCTTATAATTTTGAAAGTAATATATGCATAATTAATGTTAGCATCACATTCTTCCCACTTTTAGGCAATAGAAGCTGAAGTTCCCTCATCAGAAAAAGATGAGAAGGCACTTAGTGTCAAAAACCGTGACTCTGAACCAGAATTTGGAGAATCCTTTACAAGAGGACTGAAAAGACGATCAACTCGGAGAAGTATGAAAGAGCGAGCAGAGCAAGATGATGATTCTGATGAGAAAAAAAGTTCACCTGTAAGTATCTTTGCAGAGATGTTAGTGAATTTGATTCCTTCTAAAGATGTATTTTAAATTCATTCTCCTGCTCAAGACAGATACAAGAGGAAGGAGGCATTTGATAGGGGTGAAAAAATGTGGTAGGTTTAATCTAGGCCATAAGAATTTTCAAATTCTAAATAGCATTCAACTGTTAATATTCATAGCTTGTTTTTTTATTCTCAAGGTGAATGATAATGTAAATAAAATGGGACTTAAAAAATATATAACAATGTTGATGGGTTTATTATTGAAAATCAGTTAGGTTTAAAAGAAATATGTATATCTGCATAATATACTGACATAGTCTATGAAGGTTAAACATTCATTTTTGGATCAGAAACAGAGCATTTGGCCCAACATACAACTCTTACAACAAAATTTGTAAAAACCCCCCTCCAAAGATGATTGCATTCATATTTACAGTGATTACTTCACTGTTATAAATGCTTAGTGAACAATTACTTCAATTAATCTAGTCGTGGATTCCACACAGCAATATGCCCAGAATTGATAGTTCAAGCACCATTGACCAATACCGAGAGTATTCACCAACAAAAATTATATGGATAAACTAATATACAATGACAAGAGCTGTAGATGTAGTGTAACAGCTTGTTACACAGGTTCCTTGTATTAGAATAATAAAAAGAAATGTACAATCAGGTTTGTACAGTTTTGTACATTTATTCATGTTATTAAAAAGTATACATTTTTACTTCCTCTGAGTAGGTTCTGGGAGTAGGAAATTGACTATTAATCTCTCTTTTTCTCCATATTTCTCCAAAGACATTCATGCTTCTCCTAACAGAATTCCCTTTTTTTTAGGAGGAAGAATTACCTCCAGCTTCATTTCTGAAAATTATGAAGTTAAACAAAACTGAGTGGCCATACTTTGTAGCTGGAATCTTATGTGCAGTTATCAACGGAGCTTTACAACCTGGATTTGCGATCATATTTTCCGAAATTATAGGGGTAAGTTGGAGTAAAATATGCAAAAACCATAAAATATTACATATTCATATTTACATTAAATTTATTTTTTATAAAATTAGGTTTAAACCAATCACTGCATAATGAAGCTGAGGAGTGGATGAAGCACTCTTGCAAATATCTGAAAAATTATGTGAAATTTACAAAATCCTAAAAATCTTGCTATAAGCTGAATTTTGCTTGTTATACTTGTAATCATATGTAAGATATACTCAAATTTTAAAGGAATGCAAATGACCACCAAACTTAATTACTGAGAAAATGAGATTACTTTAGATGTCGGTTGATTTTAAATAATGTTGTTTTGAATGTTATTTTTATAGGTTTTCTCAGAAACTGACAAAGACCTTTTAAGACAAAAGAGTGACTTATATTCACTACTGTTTTTAGTAGTTGGGATAATTTCCTTTTTTACTTTCTTTCTTCAGGTATGTTTTATTATTTTTACTCTATTGTAATTGTTCATCATGTTTTAGAAACCAGTTCTGAAATATATTAAAAATTTGCATCTTCAGAATACACATCTCCAACTCAAATTCGAACCTGTATTTATGATTCTAGATGTGTCTGAAACCTTTTTGACCTAGAGCTTCTCATGTGTTAGAGACCTTCCAACCTATTCAGACCTCTTTACTTCAGAACTTCCCCTCTTAATCACCAGTCAAACACATCTCACCTAACAACCAACCCCTCCAGCCTTGACCACTTCCTTCTCATCCTCAAGCCTTCCTGCTTGAATCTGTTAGTGATTGAAAATCTACCAATCTCTTGCCTTAGTTCTCCATTTTTTTATCTCCCTAAGCCTTTTCCCATTCAAGCCTTACCTTATGGGAGTCTCCAAAAGATTCCCAGGCCCAAATTCATCAGGTAACACTTATCATGCTGATATTCAGGTCCTCCTGCTGAAATACGAATGGCTGTAACTGCTACAACATTGCCACATTAACAACAATAATAAAAAAATAGTAATCACAATTTCATGTATAGTCTGGTTTATAACTTCTGAATATGTTTGTACAGTTTTATCTGTTAAAAGAACCTACACAGTGAAAAAAGAATGTGCACTTGGGACATCAGAATAAACATTCTCGCAAAAACCTTTTAATTTATTTATGGAATTGTCTTGTGGCACATACATGCAGAAAGGCCCTGAGTACAGAAGACTGAGTTGTACATGGCTGTGATAGGTTTGCTCAGTTTATAAATGTTCAGACAACGCTTTCAATATGAGTGATGCATTTGACTTCAATGAATCCAGATTGCCTCACTAAGTCCTTAACTTAAAATGAGTGGCCTAAATGCTACCTCTTTAAATCTGACATAGGTCAGCTCATACAAATGAAGACAAAGGGTTGATTAGTGATCTTTTCCTTGAAGTGTGGTGGTGAAGCAGTACTGCGAAATATTGCTATGCTCCCTGTATTTTTTTCAGAAATAATATTTGAATGCCTGTACTGTGAGCCTACTAGGATTTACATATATTAAACTTAGTTTTGTCTTTGCTCTGTGCAAACAAGACTGCAATATTTTGTACTTTGATGTTGTGGAGATGATGTATCTAAAATATTTATTGAATAAACACAGACACTGTAATAGTATGCTAAGCATTGTATCTTTTCTCATAGGGTTACACATTTGGCAAATCTGGAGAAATTCTTACAATGAGGCTTCGATTCATGGCATTTAAAGCAATGCTTAGACAGGTAAAGATAATAAATATTTTGCACTCCAGGGTTTTAAAAACAATTAATTGTAATTAAATGTAATTCTTTTTATAATAGTATAATAATTGTAATTTAACAATTAACAATTAAATTTGCAATTTATCAGTTTAATAATTTCATATGTAATGGTTAAATGTAACTAAATAATTGTATTGTATAATAATAGTAATAATTGGTAAAATTATATAACTGGTATAATTATTGATTGTATTTGTATAAAATAACTGTATAATGCATCACTATCATATTATGATTTGTCTACAGAGATTATTGTTTAAATCAGTTTTGAAACAATTTGGCTAGTTACGTGTGGTTAAGCCAAGTATCCTTACAAGGAGGGTCTTAAGCCAATACAAGAGCTTTTTAAGTACTCCTTGCAAGGACTAAGATTTACGGCCAAGCTACTACAGCTCAACAAGCTGATGTGCACCAGCAGTATCCCATTGCCTGTTCATTTACCTGCTTTGTGTTCTTGGTGCACATTTCTTTCTCCAGTAAAGAAATGCAACACAGCTTACATTGTAAATCTTACTTTAAATGTCTGATTTAAATTGTGACATGTTTTTATTTATAAATTGGACGTCTCTGTCAAGGAGCTCCCAAATCTATAATTTTTGTTTGTTAGTACAATAATAAGATTGTAAACTGAAATCTAAAGCCACTTTCAGAGAACTAAAATATAAATATTTCATAATGTTTTAAAGTAATTCATGTAGTTGTCTAAGACAGCTTTAATTTTGCATGATTTCAGGATCAGTATGTTAGACTTTGAAATATACAATAGAATAGTTATGGGATTTTATTCTTGCTCATAAAGCTACATGTAAGCACAGAATTTGATTCATGTGGATGTGACTATTAGCAATGGGACAGAAAACTCTTGTAGTCTGCAAAACTATGACTTATAGATCAGCCATACTGAAAATCTAATGAAAAAGCAATCTTTCAATTGAGCTTTGACGTCACAAATGCCAGTAATACTTTATCAGGACTTAATTCAATGCATATTACATATGAAATTTTAAATCAGATACTGAGTCACATGGTGAATAAATTATAAACTGTATACCTGACCCCAACAATTAATGAAGGTATTAAACTTAATTAAATATGCAGAAGTGAGGCACTGCCACCTACACAGTCTTCTGACACTAAACCCAGTTGCATTAAGTAGACCTTAGATTTACTTTGCAGTTTATACGAAATGTCCAAACACTGCTCTTAAAAATAGTTTTTCTTATTGTAGGATATGGGCTGGTTTGATAATCCAAAAAATAGCACTGGAGCACTAACTACGAGACTTGCTAATGATGCCTCACAAGTGAAAGGAGTAAGTAGAATTTTGGTTTGGTGTTTTTCATACTGCTTTAGCATATAGCAAAGTTGCAGGTTGGGTGTGGCTGGTTGATAACAGTCTCAACTTTGACAACTAAAATTTACTATAAAACAATAGTTGGTAGAGAATGCACTGAGGTGTTTTATAACAGTTATGGTAATATATGTTTACAAAAAAATTTCCAAGTAAACCTTTTCTAAAGTTTACTATTGTGCTGTATTGTGATCTTCATTGTTAAACAAATTTATTGGGAATCTCTTATCTAAGAAATCTGTTTAAAGAGATCTTATTCACCTAAAGATATGCATCTAAATTTGTTCAGCTTAGGATCTTCTGCTATTTTTCTGGTGGCACAGATTCCTTAATAAAAAAAAATTAAAAATCGCAAGCAATAGACTCTCTTTCCTCTGTTACTTTTCAGAGTGTCTTTAAAAATAAATTGTGGATTTTCAGGGGTGTGTAATACTAAGCCAAAGTACACGGAATGTAATTATTTGTGTATGCTTAAGTAAATTTTTACTGCTCCAAGAAGATATGAGTTTGTTTTTTTTTCTGAACTGAGGAGTTCTGAAGTATCTTTGACTTTACTTCCATTGGAGAAGTTAAACGATCAATTTTCTTTTTCATTGCACTTTGTGTGATGACTTATAAAGCTAAGTGTATGATCTACAAAATATGACCAATTTTAATGTGTAGATGTATATGTAAATATGTGTTGAGGTTCAAGTTTGTTCAGGTTCAAGAGCAGAATTTAGAAATTGTGGTGTACATTTAAGTAATCAGAATAAGGGAAAAGAAGAAATAAATGTGATCAGGATATTTTTATACAAAAACATTTAAGAAGCTCCCATTTTGAAAAAATAGCAAAGCTGACTTAAGACTTTTTAAATAGTGCTTTGAGAATCAGGAATATTGGGGGTGAAAATGCTTTTCTTATTTAAATCACAGTTACTTTAGTAAGAAATGTCTTTTTTCTTCTTCCAGGCGACTGGTGTCAGACTAGCATTAATTGCCCAAAACATAGCCAACCTGGGGACTGGAGTCATTATATCATTAATATATGGCTGGCAGCTGACCCTGCTACTTTTAGCTGTTGTGCCCATCATTGCAGTGGCAGGAATGATTGAAATGAGGATGTTGGCTGGGCATGCTAAGAAAGACAAAAAGGAGCTGGAAGCTGCAGGAAAGGTGGGTTTAGAGAAATTTATCTATTTGTATAATATATACAGTCATGTCTACCAAAGTATTGTTACTGGGTGTATTACTTCCAAATACAGAACAATTCATAATATATGATTTCCAGAAACAGCTAAACTCTATGTAGTTACACTAGCAGATCTACAGAGCATTACACCTCTTCAATAATAATTGAAGAATTATGTTATTAACCAATATATATTTTTATAGCTGATAAATCCCTGAGTGTGCTAAACACTATTCAGGCACTCTATTCTCATTCTGGTTCTGATCATCTTTGTTTTCCTCTATTTTGCAACACTCTTCATTTTGACATTCTCTTTTGTTTGTGGGTTGTTTTTTTTTTTTCCTGTCATCCCTTTTTGGCATGTCATCTGTCTTATGTTTATATACTGCTCTTTATTTCCCCCTCCTTCATCTTATTGCTGTTTGCAGGGATAATATGTATGTACCCACTGGTTTCTGTTTGCCATTCCTTTCTTTCTTGAGTGGAAGAAAAGCTGAGAACTGAAAAGCAAGAAGGGTATACTCTTTCTTAACAAATTAAATGAAGGCACTTAATGTCACTTCATTCCAAAAATCCTTCTGGGACAGAACAACTAGTTCATCACTTCCTAGATAATTGCTTTCTTCAAGGTAAAACTTTTCTAAAATCTCTTCCTATGTCCTACTATTTTTAAACTGAGAAGAAAATAATTTCTCTAAGACCATGCACATAAGGAATAGTTTTAACATTCAGATTTGGTGTTTAAATGTATGTGTCTGCACATGTTCTAGCAGTGTATAGCTATTTGAGGGGCCATAGAATTGAGTGGCCTCTAGTTGCAATTTTGAAAGGGTCTGGATCTACTCTGTGCTCTATGTTTTATCTACCATGCCTTAGCCAAATGTTTTGCGTATCCTAGACCATCTCCAAGGTCATGTAGGCAGCTGGATTAGAGTCCTTCCCACCCCAATCAGTGATTTTGGAGAAGCAGACTAGGTAGGCACACTGCATGGACAGCTGAACTACATTCTGGTTATGTTGAATAGATATCCATTGATTGCACCAGAAACTTAGACACCTAAATTTTGGTGTCTTCATCCCTCATCCCTCCAAGCCTCCCAGTAACTCTTGTTTACTAAATGGGATTTATTTCCTTCCTTCTCTCATATCTGTAGATACAGTTGCTGAAAACCATTTTCGTCCCTCCAAGGCCACAGGAAATTGTGCACAATGATCTTTCCACGGGCTTTTTCATACAAACCAAAGAATGCAATTCCTTTCCTTCCAACTTGCCTACATTTCTTCTGCTTCTTCTCTCTAGTGGCTGAACATTTATTTCATGTTGTTTTGTTGTAAGATATGACAGAAAAAAAGTTGGCAATTCTTGGAATAGGCACTAAAGACTTTCTTAATGCTGAAGATTGCGAAAAATTACCACGGACATTACAAACATTTATGACATTTGTACAAAATTTAAAAAAATATTTACTTTTCATAGAAATGTATGAGTTTCCCCTCTCAAGGCCACCTAAACAAGGACTGGACTAACGGAATTTTATTGTATTTTCATTTTTTTAAAAAAATAGGGGGTTTTTTAGAAAAAATGGTGTTCTACCAGGAAAATTTGCACTCTGCAAAGGACTGCCAGACTGAAGTTACTGAAAACCTTACTTTATGGTCTTCATTAGACTAAAACTATGATACATTAAATGTATATTTCCGCAAAATATGTTAAAGCCTTGAAGGTCTTTTCACAGAATTACAGAATCATCAAGATTGGCAGAGACTTTCAAGATTATCTAGTCCAACCTATCACCACCATAATCTCCCCTAAACCGTATCCCCAAGTGCCATATCCAGACACCTCACGAACGCTACCAGAGACAACAACACCACACCACCACCACCTCTCTGGGCAGCCTATTGCAATGCCTGACCACACTAAAAGTGAAAAAAAATTTTCTAACATCTAATCTGAATCTTCCATGGCATGACTTAAGGCCATTTCATCTTGTCCTTTCATCTGAGACATGGCAAGGGAGACCAACCCCCACCTCCCTCCAACCTCCTTTCAGATAGTTGTAGGAAGCAAAGAGGTCCCCTCTGAGCCTCCTTTTCTCCAGACTAAATTCTTTCAACCGCTCCTCATAGGAAATATTTTCTAGACCCTTCATCATCTTTGTTGCCTTTCCCTGGACATGGCCCAGCAATTCAATGTCCTTCTTGAAGAGAGGGGGCCCAAAATTGAACTGAATACTCAAAGTGCAGCCTCACCAGTGCTGAGTACAGCAGGACAATACAATGTCTGCAAAAGTCAAGCTAAATTGTCGAGGTATTGCCCATATTCATTTCCTGCTGTACATACAGTTCTGAGTTATAACAAGACATTACTCTGCATTTGTACAGTGTCTATGCTCATAAATGAGCTCTCCTGCTTAATACTCATCCTTAGAAATGAGACTGAATTGGCAGCTGAATAGACCTTAGATGTTTAATAACATTTGAGATACATTAGGAAATTGAAAACATCCATCCCTGTGGAATTGTCAACTATAATACAGCATGTGTGGGAATCCCTGCCCTCCCAGAGCAACGGGAGCTGAGGACAACTGGAATATTCAACATAAGATGTATTGCACAGGAGGCTGTGTAGGTTGTGCACTCAAGCTCAGTGTTTCATCCAGAGGGTGGCTAGAGGGTAGCAGCACTGTTCCAGTGTCTGCAGAGATGTGGTTATTCCAGGTGTCACCTGTTGGTCACTTCTAAGCATCATCCATTCTACATTAATATGGACTAAACAGACCATACAGGATCCTAGCCTCACGCTGTGGTCATTGGGGAAGACTTTGTGGGAAACTCCATAGTCTTAAACAGACTATGTAAAAGCTTTGAATCTGTTACTCCCATATGAACACATATTTATTGCCTTCAAATGTTGCTAGGTACCTTTGTCCATACAAATGACTCAAGTCTAAATAATCTGCAAGATTAAAGATGATATTAGTGTTCAGATCAAATATTTAGTGCTGAGATCTAAGTTGGGCTCTAAGGCACATAAGTAATCTGGACATTTTGATTGCAGCCCAGACTCAGTGGACTGGAAGTTGAATGCTCATACCCCCTTTTTCTTGTTGAATATCTTCTCCATAATTGTCATTGCTCTCTAATGGCTTTTCACCATTTATTTGTAGGACATTAAAGAGGTCTTATCAGAAAATTCTGAGCATCACAAGAAATTCTCAATGTCATGAAAGGAAAACTGTAAAATTCTTATTTCTTATATCAACGGTACATGTATTTAATAACCAGTATAAAAAATAAAAAATTACATTCCAACAGAATTGTTTTATTAGTTTAGGATAAGAAATTGCAACATAATCTTAACTTTTGATTAAAACATTTGTGTTTCTATTGCAGATTGCCACAGAAGCAATAGAAAATATTAGAACTGTTGTTAGCTTGACCCGAGAAAGAAAATTTGAGTTGATGTATGGAGAACATTTGATTGTACCATACAGGTATAATAAAAATAACTAAGCTAAAAAATATATCTGCAATAAATTGCACACATTTACTTCAACAAAAATAGGTTTTTTTGGTAGTGTGTATGACTGAATGTATAATTTAATTCCCTCAGAATTAATGTAAATATTTTGCATATTTTTATTAACACAACCACTGCCAGCTGACTGTTTTTTAAACTTGATTTAATGAATTTTCGTTATAATATTGATATCTTCTATTACAATGTCACTTAGTTTGGAAAAATGTTAATTTTAAGTGAGCCTTGGAAGTGATCTAATCTGAATTTCCACCTGAAGTCTTTTTGATATTTAATTAAAAGCTTTTAAATGTAATTTGAAAATTACATTCTGCCATTTTTTAAAGTATTAGTGGGATTGAAAATGTTTGAGTAATTGCTTATTGGTTTGTAGCTGAAAAAAAAAAAGTAGTATAAATCTGGCTGGACTAAATAAAAATTTAAAAGTCTTAAAGTGAAAAACTAAAAAGATTCTTTCAAAGAAAGCTTTATTTATTTTTTTATTATTCTATTTATTATTTTATTATTCTAGAAGGGAATGTTTCATTTTCAGATATCCATGAGAAAAATAAAGGAAATGACAGCATCTGTACACAGATGTAACAGGAGACTAGTGGGGATGCCACTAATACATCAGCCATAATAATTGAGTGATTAGAGCACAGTGCAGGACATAAAAGATATTGCTCAGCTTTTTTCTCAGGCTGCTGGGTTTTGAGTTCATATTTCACAACTTTCAGAACAGTATCTAACCATTCTCAGGGTTGATGCTGGTGGGACTGCTCTGAGACTTTCCTCTTACTGTTGTTCTAGTACAAATAAGAAGTTACTGCCCTATGAGTCAGTTTGTCTGGAAGAGACAAAGATGTGTTCTTTAGTTAATGTTTCAGTGTACATACACTTCCCATTCATAATAGTATCAACTGAAGTCAGTTGGTATTTGCGTATTAGAACTTAAGTATGATTGCACACTTTGATGAAAACATGCATTCTTTCTTACAGAAATTCTGTGAAGAAGGCACATATATTTGGCTTTTGTTTTGCCCTTTCACAAGCAATGATGTTCTTTACCTATGCTGGCTGTTTCCGGTTTGGTGCCTATCTAGTGGCAAATGGACAAATGGAGTATAAAAATGTATTTTTGTAAGTATCACATTTGCAATATTTTTTTCTGTCTATCCAGAAAAATAGTTTATTATTGAAGAGACAATAACTCAATACAGGGCTGTGTAAACAAGTGTGAAAACACTGAGATTCTACCAGTATAGATATCAGTGACCTCAATACCCAAGAATGTCAATCATACCAATTTTTTGTTGGCAGCCTAACTATGATTAGCACAGCTCATTTTGACTGGAAAATGTTGGAAAGTGCTTGCATCCTAACTGCTAGCTGAACGTCTCTAGTCAGCTGAGTGAGTGAACTTCCAGTGGGTCAGTTAGACTTGAAAGGGATTGTTTGACCTAAAATCGTGTGAGCCCTCCTAGGCTGTTTAAATGCAGAATAAAAAAGATTATTTTATGTAACTCTGAAGAGAAAAGACAAAATTTAAAGTAATAAATCTCTTTTACTGTGCTTTAAAAGAGGCTAAGAGGTCTCATATATCAAATACCATTTCTCAGTGATGAGTAATCCTCTTTTGTGTGGCAGTAATTAATAGCTGAAGACAATAAGTTCTTAAACTATTCTAATGTAGCCTGTAAAATTACATAAAATTTCATAAATTTACATTAAAATCACCATAAAAAATAATAGGATACTTTTCAACCTTTTTTGGTATTGTAAACCCTGCTATTTTTTCCATCAGAGTTCTGATAGAAAATTAAATCTTTATTGTCACCTTGTTACAGGCTTGATTTCTTACTTTTGTTGATGCCTTAAAAATTGATCACTAACTCCCAAGATCAGGGAACCATAGAGAGGAAACCATAACGAGAGTAGGATTAGATAACAATTATGCCATCCATTGACCCCTTTCTTTATAGCCCCAGCTGAGATTTAATATAGTTAACCAGTATTAATAACTAAAGAAATTAGTGCTAACAAGTAATGAAAACACTGAATTTGGAATGCAGACATGCATCCTTGAAAGAGGGTAAAAAGGAATTTGTGGAGCTAAATGAGTAATTAAAGCAATAATAGTTGGTTACTACTTTATTCTTTCTAAATTTAACCCTCTTTTATCTCTGAGTGGAAAAAAAAAAGTTGCAGCCCCATTTCCATTGTCCTTTTCTTCATTGTCTATTGATATTTTTTTTCCCTGATGTCTTTTATAGAGTGTTTTCAGCTGTTGTATTTGGTGCAATGGCCTTAGGACAAACCAGCTCTTTTGCTCCAGACTATGCCAAAGCCAAGACATCAGCAGCCCACATGTTTCAGCTGTTTGAAAGAGTGCCCTCAATAGACAGTTACAGTGAGGAAGGAGAGAAGCCTGTAAGTAAGCCATGTGTAATGGGTGATATTATCTGCTGGTAATAGGAACAGCATTCTTCTCACTTCCTTCAAACTGATTTTTCCCCTCCTGATTACCTCCTTTTCCCAATGCATTTTTGACACTTTATCTGAACGCAACATGGACCAAGTTGTTTACTGGGAGTCCAGCTTTTGCTCATAATGCCAAAAGGTTATTTGTTTTCAAAACCCCTATTGATTTTGAGGAGGGGGAGTAAATACTTCTGCAATTCTATTTGAATCATCTGTCAAATTGTCTTAAAGATGTAACAGTGATGCTCTTTTAATTCCAGGAAACATTTGAGGGAAACATAACAATCAAAGATGTGGCATTTAACTATCCAAACCGACCAGAGGTCAAAATCCTGCAGGGTTTGAATCTAAAAGTAGAAAAGGGACAAACTCTTGCTCTTGTTGGTAGCAGTGGCTGTGGAAAGAGTACTGTTGTTCAGCTGCTTGAGAGATTTTATGACCCACTTGATGGAGAAATGGTAAGTATTTTTTCAAGAACATGTCAGTAGATTAATTGAGGGTGTGCTTATTGGTTTTATGTGATGTGATAAAGTACAATAGATATTTCTAAGTATTATTAATGTTAAAGATCAGCATTTGGCTCATCAGAGCTTCTTAACTGAATGAGATATATATAAGTCACAGTTTTGCACATTTTAAGGAATTAATGAAACAGGATATGTGTGGTAAAAATATGCCTTACCTATGGCCTAATGATGGCTTTGAATTCAGAGTAAATTTCCTGAGTTTTTTATATTTTGAACACTTTAAAATTTGTTAAATATACATACACATATACATATCTACTTCTGTACAGTGTAGCAATAGAATTTGCTGTCTATATTCTTTCAGAAAACCAAAACCAGTGAACATTGCCAAAAATAATTTTTATCATAATTTCTACTTGTCAGAAACGTCTTTCAGAATATGTCCCCATACCATGTGATAGACTCTAAATATTTTCAGTACTTTTAGTTTAAAATACTTGTAAAGTTTTCTACACTACCTATTCAGAAATTTTACGTATTTTTTTCACATAACAGGATTGGTTATTGACGCTGCTCTTTGATGTAAATGTGCTCAGAGATTGTGTCTGAAAAAGAAGGTGCATATTTTGGGCTGGATGAGATGAGAATAAGAAGGGTTTCAGAACTTATCTCTGCAGAGATATTCACAAAAAATGAAGCAATACTTAAATAAGGCCCAGATGCAATGGAAAAGATTTTTTTGAGGGTGGAAATGCCCAAACATGTCCAGTGTGGCAAAATGATGTGTAGAAAGTAGCAGAACAAGTTCCCCAAAAGTATGTTTAACCAAGTCTGACTTCCTCACCAACTATTTTGACCTTGTATCCATAAATAACCAACCGTGGTTTACTGAAAGGAAAAGCACAGACCTCTGGCATAGAAACCACAAAAGTGATGGGCTAATCCAGAAGCTGAGTTGCCCTGTGAATTGGGGTGAAAGGGGTGTGTTTTTAAAAGCAGTAACTGTCCAAGCAGCTGTACACAAAAGTGAGCTATTGTGCTGGTCTGATAAGGGGAGTAACTATGCCTAAAAGTCATGATGTTTGATATGGTAGATCCAGAATGCACAATAACTGTATTCTCTAGTTACTTCAGTGATTTTTCACATCAAATAAGGGACAGGAAGCAGATCTTAGCAACCTGCAAATCGATTGGAACTCTAAGGAAAAAAGATGGTAAATACCTATATAGTCAAAAGCAATTTCTCCTTTCTAGCTTATTTTTCCTGCTGAAGAAAGAAATGAAAGAACGTTACCCAAGGTTCTTTGAAACTGCCTCAGCATACCCTATCTTCCAAATTAGTCTTCAAAATCCTAATTAAATCTTGAAACAAAGAAAGGGACTGAGGGAACACTTTTATAAATTAGCCCTTAGAGAATGTTGGGATATAGGGGAGAAGGAGGGCAAGGGATTATGTGAGCTTTCAACTGATCTCTGTAAGGAAACAGTTGCAATTGCACAACTTCTGTGTCTGAATTTACAGCGAGTCTCAAATACATATATAGCCATGTGACTAAAATTTAAAATGTTTGCTTTCTCAGATTTTTGATGGCAAAGATGCAAAGGCACTGAATATCAAGTGGCTGAGAGCTCAGATTGGTATCGTCTCACAAGAGCCGATCCTGTTTGATTGCACTATTGCTGAAAACATCGCGTATGGAGATAACAGTCGTCAGGTGCCATTCGAGGAAATTGTTAATGCAGCAAAAAAATCCAATATTCATACCTTCATTGACTCTCTGCCAGATGTAAGTTATCCCTTTTCTTTCCCACTTGGAACTGGAGGTGATCCAAAGTGGCAGGGAAAAATTGTGTCTGCTTGTAAATATCTGGGGTACAGTGATTCCCTGAGATGCAAATAGATCTGAAACCATTTTTAAAACATTTTTCCTTTCTCAGTTGTGTTTACCATGATTATTTTTACTCTGGGAGATTCCCGTGTCAGGTAGAGAGCTGAACATTCAAGATCTCAGGGAAGAAAAGGACACAATTGTAACTAATTGAGAGCTGGAGGTGAAGGGTAGAGGTTTTTAAGTAAATGGAACCTTTCTTTTTAAGCTCTTGTCCATCTCAAGCGTGTGTAAAGGAATCTGCTAGACTGACAAAGTTATATATTTCTTCTAGTTTACCTGGTCAGAATTTAAATTTCTAGTATTCCTATGGTCCAAAAATAGAGTTTTTCAAATATATATATATCTGACCAACACATAATGATGTAAGAATGAGCATCTTGGTCAGACAAAAGGTCTGCCATGACATAATCTTGTCCCAAGCAGTGACCACCAAGACGTATTTACAAATAAGTATTCAGAAAGGCTAAACATTTAATCACATTTCCCTTGAATTCTCATCTCTACTTTGCATAATTTGTGATTTGAGAACTTTCTAAGATAGAAAATGTCTTTTTATTATTTAGTTTTATATAGATTTTTCTTCTGTGTGTTTGATGAATCAATTTCTAACTTATGCCAACTTGCATTCAAAAATTTCTGAAGCTAGGAGGTTGCCAGCTTAGTTGTATGTTGTGTATATTCAGATTAATTTCAGGCTGATAAACAGCTTAAAAAAATACAAAAGCCAAGGACCATGATTTTTGCAGACCATGTTTACTTTTCAATGACTTATCAAGATCTACTCTTTCCAAAATATTGTAGAGAAAACTCATGTTATACAATGATGTCTCAAACAACTTTGGTGCTTTTTGCAAACAAGTGTTTAATACCTCATAGATTACCATAACCTACATATGACTTCGTCCAGGGGCCTGACTGGTCTGCCTTAACTCACATAACTCAGTTAAAAGCATAATTGTCCTGACAGAGACAAAGTCTAACAATGTCTGTGTCCATATATAGATAAATAATTTGGCCTGAATCTGATACATCTAACACATTGCTATTTTTTTTCAGGATGAATAAAAACTGGTTAGAATAACTGATTTATTTGGACACTAGCTTGGAGTATTGTCATGGACTTCCACTGATCTTTGGTGTTCTGTCTCCTGATTGAGAAAAACATTACCATCCACCCCTAGAGAGTGTTGTTGCTTGGAATTTAGGAAATAGTGGATGTTACAAAGAAGTCTCCTGATGAAAGATCTATAGATGTGTGTCAGTTGGCAATTCTGATCAGTTGTTTTCAGAGAGCTACTGGCATGGAATATGCAGTTTATGGGTGGCTGGTGTCAGGGTTGATATGCTTCAATATACTTCAGAATTGATTTGCATTCATAGCCTGAACTTAATCTATTCTTTCCAGAAATACAATACCCGTGTAGGAGACAAGGGAACACAGCTTTCTGGTGGTCAGAAACAACGTATTGCGATTGCCCGAGCTCTTGTGCGTCAGCCCCAAATCCTGCTACTGGATGAAGCTACTTCTGCCTTAGACACAGAAAGTGAAAAGGTAACTTAAGTTTAAGCCAGGGGTCTGGAGTCTAAATTCCATCATTCACCCTTTTTTTTCTTACATCCTGATTATTTTTTTTACTGTCCCAGATTGAAGCCAAAAGCTGGACATATGGTGTCTTATGCAAACTATATATTTATGCTATTAATAGACAAATATAGAAGTCTTACTCCTTCCTGAAAAAGAACAAACCAAACAAACCAAAAAGTACTTTTTGCATCTGTATGGCAGTAGACAGATTGAAATTACAATGAAGAACGCATTCCTTAGGCTAGAATTCTTCAGGCTTCAGCTGAAAAGTGCTATAAAACCTGAATCAGGACACACAAACTGCAGAAGGCAAATAGATGAGGATGCTGCCAGAGAAGTTTTTTTTTTCTGTGAACTGAAAAATCTTGTTTCATAAGCTTTCTTCTTCTCATAATGGTCTTGAGTCCTTGCTACATGTTCATGGTTAACATAATAAGTTCTGATGAAAATTTTTAGAACACTTACTTCTTTCTTAAGCCCAAAGCTGCAGTCTTGGTACAAGAGAAGTATAGTCTAGCTGTAAAAAAATCAACAGAGTCCACAAAACCCCTTACTGTTAATGGGGCAAATATTATATGAAATATTATAATGTGAAAAGTTAAAACCTTTGAACTAAGTTTTTATCAATTGTAGGCATAAAAATTAGGTTTGAAGGGAAAATACCATTAAATAATCCCATGATTCATTGTTTTCTTAGTTATGTGCCAGTTAGGCACATAATTGAAATTTCATTTCTTGTTTTATTCCATATTAATAAACATAGGAATAAACAAAAGAAAGCAGAGATTCTTTTTACTGTTTTTCTGCCACTGCTAGCTCTACGAGAAAGATGATTCATGAAAGTCCCTGCAAAATCATGAGAACTAGTATGATAGTGATTGACCCAAGAATACTGACTTGACTCCCATGTATAATTAGTCTGTCATGAAAGGGACCTATGGAGATCCCCAATTAAACATCTTTATACAAGGACCAATACTGAATTCAAACTGAGACTGCTTAATGCTGTGTCTGGAAGAGTCTTTGAAAATCTCCAAGGAGATTCAGCAGACATTCTTTTGTCCCTGTTCCAATGCTTAATTACCCTTGCAGTGAATACTTTTTTTTTATACCCAGTCAGAACATCTCCTGTTACAATTTATGACCATTTTCTCTTGTTCTCCTGCCGTGCACCTCAGTAATGAGCCTGGTTCCATCTAATCCTCTTGACTAGCACAGCATCATCTGCTATAACAGTTTTGACTCTTTGCCAACACAGGCTAATCCTAAATCAGGAAGCTCGAGCAAGATATTCCCTTTCCCTCACTCTCATATTGCAGTTTACTTCACAGCTGTCAGAATAGTTCACCTTTTGGTTTTTCATTGTGCAGATTGTTCAGGAAGCACTGGATAAAGCCAGAGAAGGCCGTACGTGCATTGTGATAGCTCACCGCCTCTCCACCGTCCAAAACGCTGACAAGATTGCTGTGATACAGAACGGCAAGGTCGTAGAGCAAGGCACCCATCAGCAGCTTCTGGCTGAAAAAGGCATCTACTATTCTCTGGTCAATGTTCAAAGTGTGTAATGCAACACGTAGTATAAAGGCAGTACTTATCTATGAATTGCCACAGGAGCTACTTCTGTCACTGCAATTATTTCAATACCAACAGTCAGTCTTGATACTTTTGGTTTTCTTCTTTCCTTTCGTAAATCATACAAAACTAAGTAAATATGTAACAGTTTCTCAGTACTAGCTTTCATTATTCAAACAGCTTTATGTGTGGCCAAAACAGTGGCCTATTACCCTCATGAAAGTAGGAGAATGCTAAGCCAAATGTAATTAATATTAGCTTGCTTTGAACTCTGTCAAAAATCACATTAATCAGGCATGTATGGTAAGCAACTTAGAAACATTTTCATGCTCAGTAGAAGTAGCTTTGCTATTGTCAGAAAGAAACCTCAAGCCTTATCCTTACTGTGCCTGTCTAAGACACAGTCAGTCCTGGCCTATTAGGCTTGTTACCAACTTGTTACGAGAACTTGCAGGTCAGCTGAAGTTTGATTCCAGATGTCTCTTGTGAAGTTTTAGCCTGGGATGACAGTAAATGTCTTGAAAACATGGGCAAAGGCTGAAAACAAGGGTCCCAGAACTGCAAGTACCTCAGTGGTGTTGCTTACTGATCACCAAAGAGTTGCAACCTTAAGAGATGCAAAAACACATAACACAGAAAAGAAACAGCAGATCAGAAAAAAAACCCATAATGGATGGGCAAGACAAAGCACCTGCTGCAGCCTGGGAAAGAACTATCTGCAAGTGTCTTGAAGTCCTAGGGTGCAGAGGTCAAAGACTAAGAACTCTCTGAAGACTGCAGTATTTTATAAAAGCTGAAAATCCTGGATTTGGACTTGGAGGAGGGGGAAGGAAGGCATCTTTTTCAGTGTTACCATCCTTCATTGAAGAGCTCTGGAACCTGATCACTGCGACTAAGACTCTCAAGGACTGTAATCGTTGGTGCTAAATCCTTGGCATCACCTCTGTGGCATTGTATATTATTTGCTTATTTAGGATGACTGTTAAGTGCCACCTGCTTTCAGTATGTAGCGATATTGATTTGTAATTATTAATAACTAAACATGAAGCAATGTATATTGTTAATGAATATTTATTCAGTAAAGTTTTGTTTTTAAGTTTAAAACTGGCCTGAATTATCAATCTTCCACAATTCCATCCTAGCAACTTCTGATTCCCTGAGACTTATACATATGGTCTGTCTTACATACCTCTAGGTATTTATAACACACAGATCTAGATATTTATACACACATTAACTAGGCTCATCAATGTACTAATAACACTCTTTAGAATGTTGATTGATGCAGTCTCATTGGAATCACATACCTATTTTCTTTTGTTTCTATCTTAAATGGAAAACCAATTTGACTAGCAAATTTGTTTGTTTCCTATTTATGCGTTACTCGATACAATGAGAAAGGCTATTATTCTGCATAATAATATAAATAAGTTATACTTGCAATTGCAAGAATTGAATAGATACTCTTTACCATTATAGTCTGAAGATTCAAGTGAGAACGTGACTGTTTGTTTGGGTTTTTTTCACAGAATCCAGGATGTTATTATTTTGTTTTTAAACTAGGATTTTTAATTTTTGATGAAACAGTTTCCAATGATTGGATTAGTAATTATTACATTATTTCCCCAACTTATGTAATTTTGAAGATTCTTGATTTACCAGACATATCCAACTCTTTATGAAAATCAGGATAACACCGTAAATATTTTACCACAGATATCTGAAAATCGTTTTTTTAAATCCTGGCCATATAGTTTAAAATATATTTCAGAAATTCACATCAAATGTAGAAACTTTCTAAAACAATTTATTTCTCCCTATCCTTTTCTTCTACATTTGTAAAGAAATATTTCCCCTTTGTTGAGATCTATGCATAAGTTTTCAAAATAATTACAAATCCACTGTAATTGCTTCAGGAACTATGCTGCTCACAATTACTTTCTTTTCAGAATTTTCTTTCAGAAGGCTACAATGGCCATATTACTACAATTGAGCTACCACTAGATAACTCATCATGTAATTTATAGTCACAAAGCCAAAAGACAGGGAAGAACACCTCCAAAAATGTGTTCTTCACCACATTCTAGTCATACACCTTCTAATTGCAATGCTTTACCCAAAGGAAGGGTTGACTGAACTAGGACAATTCTGCTTTAAGGACCACACCTTTCCAAAGGACATAAGAGGCCTTACTCCATAGCTCTGCCTTTTCAGTTAGGCTCTGAGATATTTTGGTTCCCCTTAATGTCATAAAATACTCGTCTGAGCTCTTCCTTGTTGGCGTAGTCAACTCTTGTCTTTAACCATAAGTACCCTAAACCCTTGATGATAGGTATGTGTTGCTATTCTGAAGTAATAGGCCTTTTTTTCCACTGTCATGTTCTTCTTTTGAGAGTCTGCAGCAGTTTCAAGCAGAACTTATTGTTTTGAGGGAAGGTAGTCTAGCAGTTTTTCCACACATTTCTTGTGCCTATTGACCTTTGCAACAAGTCTTTAGAGAGATGTCAGCCCTGACACCACCCTGGTAATCCTAACCACTTCGTAAGCATATGCCACTGACCATGGAGAGACAGGAAGCACGAATGACTTAAGTCCAACAGTCTGATAGCTCTCCTGCTGAAACAACTGATCAAAACAGAGTTCTCAGAAGAAAAAGAAGGTTTAGGTCTAGAAAGTCTTTCTTTTCGCAGATTCTTATCAGGGTGTTGCTGTTGCCCAGCATTCTCCAGCATACTTACCCCTACAAGGACAATATGGTGTTCCTTATGAAACAAGTGCCTTATTACTAAACCCTTCTATAATTTCTGACAGTGTGAGAACATAAATAAACTCCGTCACCTCAAGAGCGTCTGAAGGAGTAGTTCTCACAAGTGCCATGTACCGTCTGCAAAGGAAGACTGTACATCAGTTCTGGATCTCTACTAGTCTATTCTTCCCTCAAAGTTCTTCCTGAATTATCCCACATGTTGGGAGAAGTTAAACAATCTTCCCCCTGACACTGACTTCCCATCAATCTAGCTTTAATGGAACCAGTTCTCCTCTCTTTCAAGTAAATCTTTTGAACCTGTTGTCTCTTTCTTGCTGCTCTATTGGTCTATGAAAACAATCTTCCTGGTAGCATTAATTTCTGTAAGGCACTAAAGATCTCACTGAAGCATTTGTTAAAGAGTAATCCTTGTAATTGTTCACAATACAAATAGAATAAAGTTAATCTCTTTGTCAGGGTGTATGGTCTATTTGTACATTTATAACACTTCCTCTTACTCCTCTCCCTTAAAACATGGCAGAGTGCCTATGAATACAGGGTGAAAACACTCAATTAGCAATTCTTGTGCAGAAAAAGCCACATTGTAAATGTATCTATAGACCATCTAAATAACTGTTATTGTCGAGTACCCAGTCTTCTAGACAAATCATCTAGAACAATGTAGTTTAGTCATTCATTCATTCATTCTGTATTTCTAAGAAAGCATGGTATCTTTTATTCTAGTTACCTTAATGCAATAAAATGAAAGCAGAAGGTAAGACACAGGACCAGCAGCAACTTCAAATCCTTTGCTGTGAATTTCATGGACTGTAGAGATATCTGAAGCAGAGAACAGGAAGGAAAGGTGCAGAACACACAAGGACAGCTATCTTTAGCACTCTCTGTTTTTGTAAGGTGAGTACATTTCCTTTTGGTTTTGCATGCTTATTGCTGCATACATTTCATTCTAGCTGTACTCTGTTAACTAGGGTCATCAGTATTATCATAACGCTGTTGTTGTAGTCCTAGGACAGGACTGCATGTAAGTCAAAGTGAGCATTCACACCTTAGTCATTTCTCCAAGCAAGTTCATATTCTGCAGGGTTAACAAAGGTCTGGCCAGGGCACAGTTCATCCCATTCTAGAACTGCTGTCACTAGCAGGTCAGATTAGCAACAACCTTGTATTGTGTCTCTTCATAAGAGGATATAAGCATGATTATCATAAATACTTATATCGTTAATGCGTTGGTGTAGAGAAAATGAGTCACCCTTCTAAATGACTGCTTTACTGAAATAAGCATCGTAGATCCCACACTACATAATGTTTCATAAAAGTAGATCCATAAACACTGGTTGCAGCCTTGTATTCACCAAGACAGAGATATATTTTACAGACATACTAGAAATTGTATGGAACTAATTTAAAATGCCCCAAAATTTAAAGTCATTGGTATTTCAGATAACTTAAAGGATAAATACTGCATATATATATATATGTGTGTATATTATCTGTCTTACTGGATTTTATTGAAGTGTCTATGGGTAGAAATGGTATCATTCATTTGCGAAGTAAAGGAGACAAATATGTTAAGAAATTTTTTTGATACTGCAAGCAATTGTTCTAAGAGAGAATAGCATGGTTCTTATGTCATCTAACAATCAGGAATAGTTTTTTTGCTATGTTAATTCTGATTTGGTTCTCAAATCACAGATGAAAACTAGTTAAGAGAACAAGTTGATTAATCTAAGAAAAAAATTAAGTTTGTGGTATTTAAGATATTAAAATGAAGCCATATTGAGGAAGAAGGAATGTAGGTTTATCTAACACAGTAGCTCTTAGTTTCCACTTGCATTTAGAGTGTCCTTAATGAAGTCAACTTTATTTACAGCAACATATAAAAGAAGTCAGGGCAGAACTTAGAAAGAACAAAGCTACTATAGGTGTGAAGTGACCAGCATTGTCTACTCTCTTTTTGAGGCTCCGATGAGCTGTAAATGCTGGCATCACAGTTTCATCTTTCTAGGCACTCCTGTCTTCCCCCAAGATTAATTTCTTCTTGCTTTTACATATATCACATTTTGTACTGTTTCATTTTGGATTAATCAGTGAACCTGATTGTTGTACAAACTCTTCAGTTTGGTATGTCCATATTTCATAGATTGTGTGACACAAAAAACCCAAATAAAATATATGCACACATTCGAAGGGATGGGTAGAAGGCTGCACTATGGCATTATGACATGCTTCTCCATTTATAAAGCGTATTACTAATCTAAATTAAGTTTTCTGGAGATTTTCTTTTCGATAGATCTACAGAAGATTTATCTCCACATATCTGCCTATTCCTCAATGTAAAAAAAGGTGAGTTATTAAAGATGAGAGTTATTTACATGTCTGCTAAATCAGAAACAGCTGAGACATTATTCTTCATGCCTACTAGAGTTGAGAATTACAGTTCAGGATGTTAATACTTCCCTGTTCAGCTTCTTAAGGGTACATTCAAGAAAACATACAACAATCTAGTTCTCCAGATGTTTATAGTTTTCTTTCCTGTAATTTCCTGAGGAGCTTGATAACTAATCAGAAACTTCATTTCTCAGTTGCCTGTCCCTTTGAGACATTTGAGATCATTTTCCTGAAGACATGATTATTCTTTTAACTCTTGTTTTCCCATTATTGCCTATGAGACTTCAATGACAGAAAAAATAAATGTGATTTTCATCTAAGAATCTTGCATTGATAAAATTTCAAAACATCCATCAAAATTTCTCTAGAATTGCTCATGAAAAAAATGTAATGCTAGGAGTAATTTCTGTGTCTGAGCTTTAACACCAGTTTCCTTCCAGTTCATGATGAAATTTGTGTACTTTCTTCTTTATCACCCAGCACTATAAATAAAATAATTTTCTTTCTGAGGCTGTGTCTTTAATTTGCCACATGATGGCCTCATTTGTTCAGAAAATGGCTACATTGATCTGCTCCTTAGCGCATATCTTGTTCATTTCAGGAGATGGAGTATCCTGTCTAATCCAAAGAGCAATACTCTTATGAGCTGCTGGTTACTGTCCAAGATACCCACTCTCTTTCCTGCCTAAGGGAACAGCATGATACAGTCATACCTGCCAGTATTGCTACCGTGTCTTCTAAAGCTGGAGTTTTAAGACCTAGACTAAGGCAGCAGATAATAACTGCTCATCCCAGCTTGTGCTATGTCAAGTAGTCCTACTAGGGGCAACAAGTGATGGTAGATAATGTTTATCTTTGCATTTAAATCAAAGGTCTTTCATTTATTTCTTCCTGATTTAATCATATTTGTCACAAAGTCTGTTAAAGTAGGATTTAAAAGAATCTCCCC